AAGATAAGCCGATCCAAGCTTCTAGGTGAACATCGCCGGCGTGCCGTCGATGGAGGGCGGCGGGAAAACGGACAGACGACAACTACAACAATCATCAAGTGTCCCTGAGGACGGGCTCGAGATGGAATATGATGGAACGATCGCGTCGACTACACAGGAGCCCACTGTGGTCGGTGGCTTTGGCTTAGGCTTGGCTTAGGTTAGGCTTAGGCTTAGCTCAGCTTTAGCTTCGGCTTTAGGTGAGCTTGGGCTTGGGCTTACGCTTAGGCTTGGCTTAGGTTAGGCTTGGGCTTAGGTCTAGCTTAGATTTAGATTGAGCTTGAGGTTAGCTGAGGCTTAGACTTATTAAGCTTAGGTTTAGGCTTAGGTGGGGTGTCGCTGAGGCTTAAGCCTAGACTTAGCCTAAGCCTCCTAAGCCTAGCCGAAACCAAGCCCAGGCTTAGGTTTCGGCTAGGCTTAGGAGGCTTAGGCTTCGGCTTGTGGATTCCTTTCATTTTTAAAAATGCTAAAAATAAATAGGAATTATTTAGGAAGAACCACCTCGGCACTCGGCCGAAAAGACCGGACAGGACGAATCTTCGAAAGTCAGCTAATTTTTCAAGGTTTCAAAAAAATTTTGCAGCGCCACAAAACCGCACGGAACCTGCTGCGCGTGCTGAGGCCGGGTGGCGGCTCTGCCGAGCTGGCTGGTAAGACAATTAGGTTCTTTAGCATTATCGGGGGGAGGGGTTTCTAAAAGTTCAGAAATGTCTAGTAATTTAGTTTAAAATTTAATTTAATTGAGATACTATAGTTTATTAATGTTTTTAGTACAATACATACTGCATTCCAACCAGAAAAACTACCTAAAACTTCTAAAAAAAATTGCTAAAAGTCGAAATCTGGCCCTTTTCTGTCGAAAAATTTATATTTTTTTGTATTTTTAATGCAAAATGGGAAAGTTATTACGTTTCGAAAAAGTAAAAAACTGTCGAGAACGTCTTCCGCTATTTATATTTGAAAAACTGGATGCTAAAAAAAACCTTGTTTCCCTCGACCGATAATGCGAAAGAACCTAAAATTTTACAATTATCGAAATCTCCGACGAATTTAAAAATCTAAACAGTTCCGATAAATCAAATACAAATAAAAAGACAAAATAAAATTTTACGTTTTTAGGCCGCGGCGGGAAGCGGAGCAAATCCGCCGAGCGGTCCACCGACGACACCGACGACTCGGCGCAGAAGCGGCGACGAGCGGCGAAGGGCAAAACACGAGTAAGTTTTTGCAGCTTTCAAGGGGCAATCTAGCAGAGACGCTTTGGGAAACGGGCTACCATTAATGTGCTACTTTTCTAGGCCTCCCACGAGAGCCTGATGACGCGATCCGGGCTCTGCACGCAGACGTCCGGTCGGACATCGGGTAGTGGAGGTTGGGTTTGCTTACCAATTTTTGAAATATAAATAGATGTAGCCTTTCTAAGCCCTTTTTACTATTTCTAAACGGGAAAACTTCCAAATTTTTAGCAAAAATACAAAAATATAGATGTTTCGATCAAAAATAGCCGATTTCGACCAAATTTGCACTTTTTGAAACCATTTTGAGTTTTTAGAGTTTTATTTTACGAAAAAGAAAAAACCTCCTATTAAGTTCTACTAGGCATTTCTAAACTTTTACGAAAAATTCGGGTCTGACGACAACGAAAAGCTTTTGAAAACATAGACTTTTCTTACTTTTGAAACTGCCATAAAACACACTTTTTGCAGGCGCGAAACGGAACAAACGCCCGAAGGCGCTGCTACACACACGCTCGGGCATCGGCAAGGGTAAGATTTGGAATTTTTGCTAAAGTTAGGCATTTAAATTATACTTTTCCTTCGAAAAATGACCGCTTTGCTTGCAGTGCAAACGAAGAGCAGCCCGTCGGAGCACACGCAGCCCACCATCGACATTTGACGGTTTCCGATCCATCTACTCGCCGATTTTGTGCACGCGCCCCCGACGCTTCCGGTGGCGTCGCGCGCCGTGCCTGTGATTGCCATAGAACCAGGAGAATACAGCTTAATTTATCGTTGAGAATAAACATTTGACTCGTGCGTGGGAAATGCGGCTTTCGTTTCAAAATCAACTTGTTTTTTTACATTTTATAAGGTTAAAACGTGGACACGAAACGGGCAAACGGATAATAGAGCGATACACGTGAATGGGCACCAAATTGGGCCAAGTGTGGACTAGCCGGACATGGTGAATGATTGTGCATGCAAAAGAGGACGAAAAAGGGATGCGAAGGATTAAGACAATGTATGACACGAATTATTTGAGCGCGAAACGAGACCGGTACCCAAGAGAAGCGGAAACGGAAAACGGGGGCCGGGTAGCGGCTAGTGCTTTTGGCTGAGATAGGCGCCGGTGCGATGCGAATAGTCGTTCAGCGCCTTGACCAGCCATTCCAGCGGGAAATGCTCGTTGACGGCCGGCTGCTTGTGCCCTGGAAATGGCAATGTAATTTTGGGGGTACTGGACTCTTAAAGGGGGGTGATTTTTGTGATAACGGCGTTCCAAACGGGATCGAGCCTATCTTGTGCTGAACTAAAATAGCGATTTTCGGCCGCAAATGGCCGATTTTCAAACAAAATTTAAAAAATTCAAGTTTTTAGATAGATTTTCATTTGAAGTATCGTACAATTTTACTAAAATCAAACTATGTAATTACTACATTCCCTTGCTATTACGTTACTAAGAATTTCTGGACTAAAAAAATAGGTCTCCCCCCATAATACCAAAGATGCCTACTTTGCTTATTGTTGCGCAGCGGTTGGCCGAGATCGCTGACGCTCTCGTGGAAATCCCGGGGCAGATCGCCAATGTGAACCTGCTGAAAAGGAAACGCGTAAACGCGTAAAAAAGGAGCCGAACCGATGAATTCTGGCGATCGACCATGCAACGCGCGGACGCCATCAGCACCGTGATCAGACGGGCCGTCACGATCCGGTCGTGTGCCTAAATATGGGAGAAATTAGCAATAGGTCTCTCTAAAAAACAAAACTTAATGATCAAAAATCCTAATTTTGGACTAAAATCACTTGTCTTCATTAAAAAAACGCTATTTTTCGTTTTTTTTTGCAAGCAAAATACTAATAGTAAGTAAAAAAGCAAATAGTAAAATCGATTTTGAAACGACGAAAAAACGTGGGTTCACCCCGATAATGCAAACCCTTTTCAAAGATTACTCACCTCCTCAAAACTGCCCCATTTCTGGCACAGCTCGGTCAACAGTTGCTCGCTGTCCTTGATTCTGAAAAAGATATTATTATTAAAATGTATGGCAAAAAATTACCGAATGCACTCCACGTCGGTGCCGTTCAACAACAGATAGGCCAACGGGATTTTGTGAAGTGCGGCCGGGTAGTCGATTTTTAAGCTAAACAAAATTATTTGGTATTCGTGGAGAAATTGGCCAGTACCTCTGCGTCTCCGGCTCACAGACCCTGATCTCGCAGGCATATAGGTCCCACTCCAACAGCTCTACTAGGATGAGTTGAAGTTCCGGATAGCAGGCGGTGGCCGTGCTAAATGAAACGGTGTTCCGAAGGGTCGAAATTGTGATGGAAATCCAATCATAGTGTCGAAATTCATAATTTCGAAATTTCAGTGTCGAAACACGACTCCACTCGGATCTATTTCCTAAACGAGGGGGAGATTTATTGCTAAATGTTTTCGATTTTGCCCCTTTTTTGGAGTGTTTCAACACGGTCCGCTAAGAAAAGCTCAAAATACTGTAATCTAAAAGCGCTGGCGCCGGAGAACTTTCTAGAAAACTGGACTCCCCCGATAATAACCAGGTCCTTCGGAATTGCCCACAAAGATGCTCACCAAAAAACCTCTACGAGCAGCTTCCGGAAATCGTCGCGCTTGTTGAGTAGAATGTCCGTTGCTCTCTATAGAGACTCATTCTAAAAAGCGAAAATTCCAACCTGGGACTTGTCAGCCGGTTTCTCCAATCGCGTCGCCTCGTCGACGCCGAGGGAATCCAATTTGACTTCGGAGAACACTGAAAAGGGCGAACACTAATACCTCCAAATTATTAAAAATATATAGATTTTCGCGCAAAATTCCAAAATATAAATCTTTACTATTATAAACGCAAAAGCTTAGACATTTTTCTGAACATCACAAAAAAATTTCTATTAAAAATGGCCGATCTTCGAGCAAAATTTTGCCGTTTTCGATAGGTTTTGCGCTTGAAATATAGTTAGATTTTACTAGAGCAGTATTATAACAGTTACTATTACGCTAAGACGCATTGCTGGGCAGGAGAAAAATTAGCTGCCCGGATAATCGGAAAATTTATCTGCGTACCTGAGAGCCAGTAGTACCGCGAAGAAGCGTCGACGGGCGGACATTTGCCTAGGATCCGGCTGAGCGTCCCGAGGAATGCCTAGGCAGAAAAATAGCTAAAATAGACGTAAAAATTTCTCACATGGATCGGCTGCGTACATTAGCGTGATGCTCAAACTTTTCGTTCTAAAATTTCCGGGTTACGCAGAGGGAAAAGGTGCATACGATCAGGATTTCGTGGACGACCTTCGCGATTCGATGCGGGTCGGGCACTTGATCGCCGGAAGATGCATATCTAAAAAAAACGTGAAAATTAGCACAATAACAGAAAGTTCAGAAAAATCCGCAATAAAAACCAACAGGAACTTATCGAAAAAGTGCATGAGCATCGACGGGTAGAACTTTGGGTTCAACGTGGCCATCCGTTCGAAATCGCGGTCGTAGGCAAGTTCATTCGCCGGCGCGATTCTCAACTAAAAACAAAGAATTAATCATTTCTAGGCTCTTTCGCGTTTCCTTTGGACCCATTTTCTTCACATCCAATTTTTCAAAAAAAAATCCAGTCTGTCCAAACGTAAACCTTTACAAATCCAAGACCATCAATTTTTCGCCGAAAAATGGCCGATCTCGATGAAACTTTCGAATTTTTCGAACGCTTATGGACCAAAAACAAACTAACAAAATAACTAAACCAAAAAAGGCACCTTTCGACCCCTCGGGATTCGGCTGTAGGCGCTGGCAATCAGCGGCACCGTATCCACCCAATCACGGCACAGCTGGGGTGCCGGCAACGGCAACGTGTCCTCCAGGTCAAAGTTGAAGACCTGAAAACGAATAAATATATATTAATCGATTTAACAATTTTCTTAATTTAAGTCTTAAATTCAATTTTAAGTTTTATTACTTAGTTTTAAATTTATAACAACCCCCGGGGAGCGGGGCAGCTCTGGCATAATTAAAAACCTCCTCTATTTTTATCAGAACAGCTGGATTCTAAGAAAAAAAATTCAGAACCTAAGAAACGGAAAAAACGAAAAACCGCTCACCTGCATTCCATTGTCACAGCGGGCCATTGGCTGTTTTGGCGCCGGTGCAAATGTGATGGTTTGGGGCTGGCGCTCGGGCGAATCGGGTCTCTAAGTTAAATTTACTTTCATTTTTCAAAATGCACCTCGCTCCTGCCCTCCATATCGTTCAGACGAATCTCCTCCTCGAATTCCATGTGCAAATCTTCGGCATCGTCAGCAGAGGCCCTCATCGAGATGTCACTGAAAAGCAGCTTTCAACCTTAGCCCGGAACGTGTATCCATCTTATAATAAAAGCAGCGTTTTTTGGCTAACTTTTTCATTGATTGAAATACTTTTGGTTTATTTGTGAAGCTTGCAAGTTGCAACCGTAAATTTCAAGCCTTCAAATTCTTAAAAAAAAAAGCTTGGACACGAACGAACACGAAGCGACCAGCGCCACAAAACGCACAACAACCAAGCCGATCGGCGCAAAGCCACATTTATTTGGATGCCTCGGTGTTAGTACTGACGTGTCGTGGGATATCGTCCGATCCATTGGCGTCATGGCGGCGCGGCAGCGTGAGATTGCCGGCTCCTTGCGCGGCTTTGTTTCTGAAAAGGGAGAGTTTACATTATTTTCGGCTACCATGAAAACCCTAAATATATATTTTTTTTTCATTTGTATCCAATGGCATATTGCAAATAACGAAGAAAAATAGCTTTTTTGACCCCAAATTTGTTGCTATAACCGTTTTATGTTACAATTCATTCAGCTGTTTTTGAAACTCGAAGTATATTTTGCGACGCTCTATCGAATCGCGTCGAGCAAATCCCGAAAAAGACATTTTGGGGATTTCCGCGAGATTTGTTCATAGTTTCTAAAACGGTTCTCGGAAATCCCTCGAAATACTCTTCACACATTCATGAAATCCCCTTTTGAAATCCATCAAAATGTAATACTTGTTAGGCCAAAAAATATTACTTTCAAGAAAAGCGTCCAGCTCTTCCGGCATCGCGTCATGTGTCCCGGTCACCCAATTGAACAGCTTTTCCGTGTCATCCCACCTAAAATGAAGAGATTTGCCAAAACGAGACGGTCTTACCCGCATTTCTCATTCCAATGTTGATAGCTGAGCAGGAGACAATTTTCCTTTGTGGGGCGTTCCTAAAGAAAACATGGCATAAAGCAATAAAACTCTAGTTCACCCGCTGCATGATGAGCTGATGGAGCAGTTCCTCGTTGAGCACCGGAACCCGCTTGATCAGCAGCCGCTTGATCGCGTCGGCCGGCGCCTTCTCCTCCCTGAAACGAAAAGCTCAGCCAAAAATTCGATTCCTGCCTCGACGGCTCGTCGTGAAAAACGAGCACCACCATCGACGCGAGACGGTCAGCGTTTTTCGGCTCGTGGCGCATCTTGATCCAATTTCCGCCTTCCTCACGTGTGATTTTCCGGTTCGAGGCTTGCAGAATTCTGAAAATTATAAGGTGTTTCTAAAAATACACCGAAGCGTTACGGTTTCTTTCCGGATGCCGGTTTTGAGTTCTTTAGCATTATCGGGGGGACAAAATTCCTTTTGTACAAGTCTAGAAACGCCTAGTGTTTTTAGTAATATAAAAGTCTATTTGCGCTAAAAAATCATCCAAAAACATTCAAAAAGTTGAAATTTTGTCTAAATAATTCCCCTTAGAAAAAATTCTGCTCCCCTCCCCCCCCCCCCCCCCGATAACGTTGAAGAACCGAATATCGACATATCAAGCTTTACCGGCACAGCTCTTGCACCCGGGCCACATCGGTACGGCGGGTCCCGTGCACAAAAAGCAGCCTCTCGAAGACCGGGTCGCAGAAATACGGCTTTTCGGCTTGGAGATCTTGAAGCTTGAAGGCCCTAAAATCTATGATTCCAATATTCCAATGCAGCTTACAATTGCGCGCCTCGCTTTGCGTCGAGCGCACACCCTTCTGGCAACGTTTTCGGAGCCGCAGAAAGTCTCTAAAAGAAAATATTTTTTTTAAATAATCCTCACAATCCCAAGGTTTTCACGGAGGAGTTGATGGGGCAGGAGATCAGCAACCTCCTGCTTCTTGGCGCATTCCTCGAGGAAGCTGACCTCGGCGAAATTGCCTAAAAAAAGTAGGTGGGTGACGTCAGGAAAAGCCCACATCCATGGAAGGCGCCGAGGAAGAGGGCGTTCCAGTTTCGGAGCAGCTTTGTGGAGCCGGTGGAGTTGAGGACGACGCAGTTCAGAGTATGAGCGATTGACTAAAATTCCATGACAATGACGTCGAAATTACTTACCACATGACCAGTGCTGATTTCGAAGAGCCCGTTTCCGAGCTTCTCCTTCCAGTCGGCCACCTCTTTTTCGGAGAAGCCGACGAGGGCCACGTGGTCGATCGGTGCCAAGACGTCCTTCTTGGAGCGGGACACCGTCTTTTTTGGTGCAGCGGCAGTGCTGTTCTTCACTTTGGCAGTATCGGGGATGAAGTGGCCGAGCGTCTAAATGGAATTTTTAAGAATAAAGTGATTTCCGCAGAGTTCACCTAAAAATCACTAAGAAAAACCTAACAAAATCGCCAACAACGTTCTTTGCCTTTTAAGGGAGTAGATTTTCGGGTCCTTTCGCATTATCGGGCAGACCAATAAATAGTGGAAGCAATTCTACCTCGCTTTCATCTTCCTAAACGCAAAAACGTTCAAGTTTTCACTTAACAATACAAAAATATCGAATTTTTTGGCGAAAATTTGCCGTTTTTGACCAAAATCTCGACTTTTTCAAAAATTTTTAACGTTTATAGATAGTTTATCTCGTGAAACATAGTTTTATAAGACTGAAAACCCCCATTAAAATGATTACTATTCAGTTACTAGACCTTGCTAAACTTATGGAAAAAGTTTCGTCCCCCCCCCCGATAATGCGAAAGAACCGATTTTCGATGAAGTCACGGCGCCCAAAAAGGTTTACTGAATTCCATACCGGCTGCTTCGTTTTTCGGCTTGTATCGCTGGACTCGGCCGCCCTCTTCGGCTCCTTCAACTTTTTCGCTGGTGACTCATCCGTTGCCGTCGTGCGCTTCCGCGAATCCTTCTTCGCCGCCGGCATCTCCTCACCGTCGAGGTCCTAAAATAGAAATTATATAGCTCCAAAAGCGCTTGCCTGATCTTCCTGGTCTTGTTTCCGCTTCAGATGTACCTTCGGTGGCGACAAAATTTCAATTGACAGGCTGGGACGGGCTGACTCATCTTGGCCATCGCCATCTCCGGCCATCTGCAAGAAAAGAGCGGCTATACGGGTAGGTGCATTGGAGGGGCAGAGAACAGCGGAAATATCGGGGATTTTCGAGAGGAGAAAACGCAAAATGATCCCGTTCAAACGGCCCGCCAGCTCGTATAGGTGCTCCATGAATTTTACGGCGTGTTTTGATTGCTAACAGTCTTAATATTGGTTATTGCGATAATTTTAAAAGATAAACGTTACACATACCAGTAAAGGCTAGCAGAATGAGTCGTTTTAATAGGCGAAAATCATCCTTTAAAATGATTGTAATAAATTAAAGCTAAATCAAAGCTGATAGTAAAGTTATAATTTTAAAACTTTACGAAGCTTCTCTAAAAGTGTAGTCTAAAAGTCTAAAAGAAAAGATAAAAATTTTTATTTTGTTTCGAGCACTCGGTTAGCAAAGCGCCCGCGGGCGCCCCAGCAACCCGCGCCGCAGAGCGCGCCCGAACTGGACCCTTTTGCGCCCCGGGCGCAATTTTTGCAAAAGGGCGCAAAACCGCCCCGGGCGCAAAAAGCGCCCATGGGCGCAACTACACTAGTGTTCATAATTATAAAGGCAGTCGAATTTTTTGAAAAATCTCAATTTCTAACGGGTTTCAGGAAAAGCTTTCTTTTGCAGAAAAAACCCCAATTACATCTCAAATTCAAATATCAAATCCATTTTTACATTCTAAGGCGAGCCATTTATCTTCGAGGCTTTTTGTCGAAAATGGCGTTTGGAAAACGTTCATAATTTTAAAGGCACTTTACGTAAAAAATTCTTAAAATTCGGAAATCGATATCCGGTTGCTAGAAACACTTTCAATAACCCTTGGCAGTAGTATTCCACTTAAACATATGAAAGAGACGGCTGTCCAAGCACTGATCAAGGATTGCGAGCAATTTTTTGCGCCAAACAAAAAAAGACGCTGAAAACACGCCAGTTCCTGCTCGCCAAGCCTTAATCCCGACGTAGAACTTGTTAATCATAAAGTGCCAGATATGCTCGTTGACGTTTAAGCCAGGGGGAATAGGCTGACCAAATCAAAAATCAATTTCAAGGGGTCGACACCAAACCTGGAGCTTGACTGGTTCGAGGAAGCGAGTCTTTCTTTGGCTGACAAAAGCCGTTGAACTCGGATTGAGCCTGGAAACGGCCGCACGACTCGGCGCGGTACGTGACGCGCCAGCGCGGCCCGTTTCTTGGCAAAAATCGCGTCGAATCCGCTTGCAAAGCCGTATTTGACTGATGTAGCCGAGTTCAGAAAGATGTGATGTTCTAAGGGCTGACCGGATCCAGTTTACCGGCCGCAAGAAGCCTTCCCAGCTGATCCGGATAGATCTCCCTATTACTGGCACAACACAACCCCCCGTTCTCATCAAAGAAAAAACAAATGGGACAGAGTTACGGTGGGGGCAGCCATTATCGTTCAAAGACGGTTAACCCGTTTATCGTTCCGACTCAAATGCCTCGAGACGACAGTCGATACTTGCTGCACCGAGTCGTGCGGCCGTTTCTCGGCTAAATCCGAGTTAAAACGGCTTTTGTCGGCCAAAGAAAGACTCGCTTCCTCGAACCAGTCAAGCTCCAGGTTTGGTGTCGACCCCTTGAAATTGATTTTTGATTTGGTCATCCTATTCCCCCTGGCTTAAACGTCAACGAGCATATCTGGCACTTTATGATTAACAAGTTCTACGTCGGGATTAAGGCTTGGCGAGCAGAAACTGGCGTGTTTTCAGCGTCTTTTTTTGTTTGGCGCAAAAAATTGCTCGCAATCCTTGATCAGTGCTTGGACAGCCGTCTCTTTCATATGTTTAAGTGGAATACTACTGCCAAGGGTTATTGAAAGTGTTTCTAGCAACCGGATATCGATTTCCGAATTTTTAAGAATTTTTTACGGAAAGTGCCTTTAAAATTATGAACGTTTTCCAAACACCATTTTCGACAAAAAGCCTCACAGAGAAATGGCTCGCCCTAAAATGTAAAAATGAATTTGCTATTTGAATTTGAGATGTAATTGGGGTTTTTTCTGCAAAAGAAAGCTTTTCCTGAAACCCGCTAGAAATTGAGATTTTTCAAAAAATTCGACTGCCTTTATAATTATGAACACTAGTGTAGGGGCGCGCCCGCGGGCGCATTTGAATGGTGAACACCTTTCAATTCTGCGAAAAAACGGCTAAGTTCCTGGATTATGCACTTATTTATGTTCAAAACATATATAAATTAACAAATACGTTACTAGGTTCGCTTGGTGATGGTCGTCGAATGTAGAATACGATACTTTGAAGCGCCATGGCGCAGGTAAAGTAGGTAAAGTTTTGCTACGCAACCAGTCCCCTTCAAAAAACTTTAAAAATACTTTAGATTTAGATCCTCGATTTATATAAGCCAACCTTTCAGACGATCTTGGTCATCATTGCAAATGGGAAGCGCGACGTTTCCGGTATCTCTGGCGCGGGGTTGAAAAGTAAGTCGGCAAGAAGCAAATCAAAGCAAGTTTTCAGGAAGCGGGAAGAAAGTAAGTGCGAATTACAAAGTTTATCAAAGAAATTAGGTAATTAGCTACACTTTTAGGGGGCCGTCTATCGCGCATTCGAACGTATCTGTAAGTTGCAAACGAAGCTGAAGCCAAGAAAGCAAAAAAAAAAACATATTTCAGGTGCGCAATACAACCAACTTCTCAGGGAACGTGAAGATCTACATTAAGTATAGGGTACAGCATCGTCAAAAGCGATGTAGTGCCCTTTTTTAAATAATAAAAGCATTAAAAGAACCCGTCCTACGCCGTTACAACGCGATTGGGGCGCGCCCGCGGGCGCTTTCGAGTTTCGGGCGCGCCCGCGGGCGCTTTTAGCCATTGCGCCCGAGGGCGCGCCCGTGGCGCGCCCGCGGGCGCTTTACTAACCGAGCAAAGTGGCCTAGCTTCGCGGAAATTACGGAATTCGTTCTTAGGTTTCACGCGGAATGCCCGTTTCTGCGCGAAATTTAGAATCTTCAAATCTATTATCGAAAATCAATTAATTCTTTTGCATTTTTTATTTATTGTAAATTTGTGATTCTTTCTTTCTTCTATTCTCGTTTTTATGCTTTCTTTTCAGGATGACCAGCAGAATCGGCCAATACAAGAACCATGGGCGCGCAGAACGATATTTCTCGGATCTGCGAAAGGTTTCCTTCAATTTCCTAGATTTCTTATTTGTTTTCAGCGATGCGCCGCGAATCTAAAGGACAAGCGCCTCGAGCTGCTCGACCAACGGCGAAAGATGAGCTCGGTATGCTTTTGGGAGTCTCCGAATTGAGCAGAATTTTAATAAGATAACGGTCGCCAAGCTACCTGTTTTGTCTAAAAACTGCTCTGAAAGATGTCTGAACTATCGTTTTTAGGTCGAATCCCTGATCCGGAGCACAGCGGCCGCCGAATTCCCCGATGAGGAGCTGGACGACGAGATGGTGATGCGACTGCAGGTTGAGCTGCTGCAAGATGGTATTTCCTTGGTTCTTCCTGGAACACTGAGTTTTTTAGAATACCTCGAACTTCAACAGGACGAAGACCGTGCCTGCTACGAGGCCAATTTTGCCGACACGCTCGAGTGCCCATCGTGTAAGGTGAGTTGGTTAGAAACGATGGAATCTTCTAGTTTAGAGTCGCGCTATCCTCGACGAAAACTTCCTCTACTGCGCCAATTGTCGTTTTGCGCATCGTTTTTCGGAGTCTTGGGTGAGGGTTTGTAAAAAAATTTTTGAATGTGGTAAAGATGAAAAACGGGTTCTTGCGCATTGTCGAGGGGCATCAACTTTTTTCTTAAGGATCTAGTTTCGAAATTTAGATAGTAAAAGTATTTCACGCAAAAATTCTCCAAATTTATTGAAAATATAGAAATATCGGTTTTTCGACCGAAAATGGCGGAGTTTTGATAAAAATCTTATTTTGTAAGTTTTTGGCTAGTTTTCTAGTCGAGATATCGTTATATTTTGAGAAAACATTAGTAAAACATCTCCTATTACGTTACTAGACGTTTCCAGACTGGTACAAGAAAGTTTGGTCGTCCCGATAATGCGAAAGAACCGGAGAAACTTGCTTTTTCAGACTCCAGACATCCAACAACTCGACGCTTGGTTGATCGAAACTTACAAACAACACGAAACGAGCTGCTCGCCGATTCTTGAGGTTGCTTCCAGGTATGGTTTATTGCTTTTATGTTTATTTCTGTCGTGTAGCCGATACGCCGACCAGCGGCTTCAACTCAACTGCCCGTTTTGCGGATTCGAAAAATCGTTCGTTGCCTAAGACTCAATCGCTATCACTATTTTTTAACCTTTACGTATAACTTTGTAACTCTCAATTTTGACCATTTGGAGCACACGGGTTTTCACATTGTGATGGTTTGCCGGGCATTGATTGCGTCCTTGTTTTTATAAATGTATCTCCTTAGGAGGTTGCTGAATTGGCAAAGGCTTTTACGTCTACGTATTATATTTTGGTTCTTTCGCATTATCGGGGGGCAACTTGTTTATTAGGATCCAATTTTTAAAAATATAAATGGCGAAAGTATTTCTAAGCTGTTTTTTAATATGCATAGACGTAAAAACGGTACAAATTGTTTAAATATCAAAACTGACCGATTTTTTAGCATAATTTCGATTTTTTTCAAAGTTTTTGATATTTTTTTCCAGTTGAAATATCGTTATATTTACAACAAAAGAAAACCCTAATAAAATAGTTCTTTGAAGTTGCTATACATTTCTAGATTTATATAAAAAAGTTCGGTCCCCCCCCCGATAATGCTCAAGAACCACCGTTTTTGGAATGACCTGCTGTTAACAGAGCGGGCGGATCGGCCGCGACCATATACGATTCCTGGGGCGCGATTTAGCGCTATGTGCGCGTTTCGATTGCCCGACAAACTACAAAGCCGCAACGCCGCAATTTTCAAGATTTTTAGTTTTGGAAAATGAACCACGATCGGCGCTATGTTTGCCCGGACGACATCTGCAAGTACGCTACTCCGGACCAAACGAACCTCATTCGCCACATCAAAAGGAAGCATCCCGAGCTCGAGCTCATCTACAAGCCGGCGGACTTGTTCCCGTACAGTTGTGAAGAATGTGGCAGGCGCTACAGGTGAGTTAAGTATTGGTAATTTTTGCATAATCATCTTTTCAGGAGTGCCGCCAGTCTCCCTTCCCATCGCAGAAGCAAGCATCCGGAGCTCCTGAAAGCAAAAGCACCGGAAAAAGAACTTCCGCCAGTGATCTGTCCCGGTTGCGATGGGCGATTCTATTCGCACGAGAAGATGGTGTCGCATTATGCCGAGAAGCATGAGGAAGCGTAAGGAAATTTCAGCAGTTCAGCAGGTTAGCGGGGAGGTTTTATGGCGTTTTTTGTTTTTGATTGCGAGAAAGTTCAACAAATTTTTTAAAATCTGAAACTTGGCCGCTTTGGCCATTTCTCTTACATTTTTGGATTTTTTATAATGTTTTGTTGTTATTATGTATAAAAACTAGGTAAAATTTTATGAAAATGGTCTAAGCCCCCCGCTAACAGTCCTGTACCAAGTTTTCTATGTTCCGGCAGAAGCCAGTTCCTCTATTTTCAGGGCCGAATTGTTCGACATGTCCCTGGAAAACGATAAGGCCTTCATCCGTTGGCTGAAGGAGCTCGAGTTCGAGCTGAGCTGCAGCTTCTCCATCCGCGACTCCAATCCCAAGTGCCGGCGATATCGTTGTACGCGTGTCGGGTTGCGGAAGCCGAGCAATAGAGACTTGGCTGATTGCACGGCATTTGTACAGGTATCAGTTTAGGCAGGTTTGAAATTCTTAACTTTTTCTAGGTTCGATTCGACGACATCGGACGGGCATTAGTCCTTTTCTGCCGGCATCATTCGCACGAGTGCCCGCCTGAAGCACTGCGGCTCTACTCGTCGCTTATGGAGGATGAGGTGATCAAGATGGTGCAGATGGGTACGTTTTTTAGGTCCTTTCGCATTAAAAACCAAAAATATCCATTTTTCGGCCAAAAAGGTCTTTTTTGACAAAAATTTTGAGTTTTTGGACGTTTTTAGATAGTTTTCTAGTTGAAATACAGTTTTCTTTTACTAAAAGTATGAGCACCTATTATAGTTTTTCTAAGTTTTTTACCAATCCGAAACGTGAAAACAACAAAATTTTTTTTAAAAATGTAAAAAATCTCAATTTTTCGACCAAACATAACCGATTTTTTACCAAAATTTCGACTTTTTCAAATTTTTAAAGGTTTTTGGATCGTTTTTCGGGTTGTTTATGGTTTAGCTAGCTATTTTTCTAGCAGGTAGCAGTCACATTAAACTTGTCAATTTCAGGAAAAACGACCCCGGAAATCCTCCAGCACTTCAAGAATGGATTTCCGAGCGGCGTCCCAGCCAGGCCAACCGTTTCGTACAACCTGACGGCCAAGGAAGTGCGAGTGGTTCGAGACCGGGTGGCCCGATGGAAGGAACGAGAAAGCCACGCAACCACACCAACTTCCAACGATGGCGCGGATGGTGATTATCGTGCAACTCTCTCGCCGTCGCCAGAAATATCGATTCCCGCATAGATTTTGTTAGTTTGAACGTTGTTTTGTTTGATAGAATAAATAATTTATCAAATGTTTAAATAGATTTACCGATGCCATTGAATATGGGCTATGCCATCTTTAATTTTTTATGTGATTTTATTTTCACGGCTGAGTTCAGAAACCATTATCACTTTGTCTTGATGACCGCCGAAAGCGCAGAACTACAACCGTTGGAGGTCGAAAAAGTGCTTCAGAAGCGGCGGCGGGAAGGCCGATTGGAATATTTGATCCAGTGAGGCGCTTTCTTACAAGGAGGCGTTTTTTAGTGCGTTTCCGTACGGTACCAGGCGTATCGTGTGCAGGATTTTGTGCGGATTCCTCGCCTGTTTTCAAAAGCTGCGAGACGATAAGGTCAAAAAGATTTTTAGGTTCGAAAAAGGCTAAAAATGGCGCAATCCCGGCGAATTGTTGCGTTTTCCGCCCTAAAAGGAACATAATTTATTCCGTCTGATCGTTTTGCAGATTTTGAAAACCGGCTCCAAATCAGCGCAAAATTCTGGACAAGGTACACTTGGTCCGGTACAGAAACTCCATTGTTTAAACACGTATTCTTGTTAGCGTTTTACGAGCGTCTTCAACCTTCCCTTCCTAGGTGGAAAGTCGGAGACACGAACCCGAGCAACGCGACATGGGAACCAGAAGAAAACGTCTCTTGCCCGGAAGCGATTGCGAATTACGAGCGACAACTATTGAAAGTGGTAGGGAATTTTCGACAACGTTTATTTGTTGTTGCTTTGTAGAAAACGATGATCAAGGGCGAAGAGGAGCTGGCAAACGAGGCGGCCGAAGTGGAAAAGATTCTCGGATTGGCCGAGAATTCGGGGGAACGATATTACTTGGTAATTCTTGGTTCTTTCGCATTATCGGAGGGGGGGGGGCGATTTTTTGTATGTCTAGAAATGTCTAGTAACTTCCTAGGAGGAATATTTAATAACGTTTTTAATAAAATGAAACTATATTTCGGCTAGAAAAACTATCTCAAACGTTTCAAAGTCGCAATTTTGGTCAAAAACCGCCATTTTAGTCGAGAAATCTTTTTTGTATCTTTTGTACTAAAGATTTCACGTTTAGGGATAGTAAAAAACAGTTTAGAAACACTTTCGATTTTTCTATATGAATTACAGGATCCTAAAACAAAAATTTTGCGCCCCCGATAATGGAAAAGAAACCTGATCCTTGATGGCAACGTGCAAATATAATTTCTATTTTTAGGTGAAATTCACGAACAAGGCTTGCCGATTGGTGCCGATGGCCGAAGCGAATACAAAGTGGCCGGCGCAAGTTATCCAGTATTACGATCAGAACCTCACTTTGGAAGAGAAATGAGCGGTATTAATTTTGCAATGATCTCACTGTCTATCTTTTTGTAATGTTTATTACGTTGAATGGCTTATTTTCTTTGTTTGTGCGTGTCATTATGGCCAAGATAAATGTCATCCAAAAATGGTCAAATCTTTATTCCGGGCGCTGACGCGTAAGGGGAAAACGGAGGATGATGATTGTGGATAGAAATAGAAAACGAGCGAGTTTTGACGTAAACAAATGAACGATTGAAAATATGGAATGCTGAGAATGAGCTGAAGGAGAAGGGAGAGCGATTCTTTTAAACGTTGGCCGGGAGAGCGGCGGCCCTGGCGGCGCGGGCGGCGCTTTTCCGCTGCTGCTTCCGCGCCTTCTTCAGAAGCCGCGACGAGGCCGGGCGGAAGGCTAGCACGCGGGCCGACATCTGAAATCTCGCGAAATACAGTGAAAACGTTTTTAATATGTCTTTTTAGATAATCCCGAGTTTCGGCAAGTTTTAGGCTTCGCCAGCTTTGCTTTTTCGTGGAGCATTTTTTTAGGGACCAATTTCTCAAATATAAATAGCGAAAGTTCTAAACTGTTTTAAAACGTAAAAACTTTCTCTAATTTTTTCGACTAAAAATGGCCGATTTTTGAGCAAAATCTCAACTTTCTCATCTTTTCAACGTCTTTAAATAGGTTTTCTAGTTGAAAATCTGGTTTTATTTTACTAAAAACACTACAAATAAAGATGCTGTCCATCGCCTACCCCGTGGTCATTCGCGTCGACGACGAGCACACCGCCCGAGTTGGCCATGTTCAGGTAGTTGGGCGCCGAGAAGAGGGTGACGAGGCGGCCCGTCTGGCCGAACCACTTGTGGCCGTGCTGCAGCATCTCGGTGTTGATCTGGTGGGCGCGGACGATCAGGTCGACCTTGGTCCGGTGGCAGAAGGAGATGACCGCGCGCTCGTCGAATGAGAACGAGATGCCGCGCGAGGACATGGCCCACGAGGCCCGCGGGTCAGCCTGGAAATTTTGAGTATTAATGACAAGCTAGCAGAGAGCATTAACGTGCAATTCTAGCTGCTTTCTTTAATTTTCCAAAAAAAAAACATTCGAGTTTCGACAGAATATGGCTAATTTTCGAAAGAATTTCAATTTTTCATAAATTTTTTAGTTTTTTAGCCAAGTGTTTGAGTTGAAACAGAGTTAAATCTTACTAAAAAGCCTATGGAAATACTTACTAGTACGTTAATCGGCATTTCCGGGTTTACACCCCCGATAACGCACAAACACCAGTATCGCTGCTAGCCTGCCTTCTCCTCTTCCTCAACAATATCTGCTAGCCCGCCCTATCCTCTTCCTTAACAATCTCTGCTAGCCTGCCCTCTCCTCTTCTTCAACAATCTCTGCTAGCCTGCCCTCTCCTCTTCCTCAACAATCTCTGCTAGCCTGCCCTCTCCTCTTCCTCAACAATCTCTGCTAGCCTGCCCTCTCCTCTTCTTCAACAATCTCTGCTAGCCTGCCCTCTCCTCTGCCTCAACAATCTCTGCTAGCCTGCCCTCTCCTCTTCCTCAACAATCTCTGCTAGCCTGCCCTCTCCTCTTCCTCAACAATCTCTGCTAGCCTGCCCTCTCCTCTTCTTCAACAATCTCTGCTAGCCTGCCCTCTCCTCTGCCTCAACAATCTCTGCTAGCCTGCCCTCTCCTCTTCCTCAACAATCTCTGCTAGCCTGCCATCTCCTCTTCCTCAACAATCTCTGCTAGCCTGCCCTCTCCTCTTCTTCAACAATCTCTGCTAGCCTGCCCTCTCCTCTTCCTCAACAATCTCTGCTAGCCTGCCCTCTCCTCTGCCTCAACAATCTCTGCTAGCCTGCCCTCTCCTCTTCTTCAACAATCTCTGCTAGCCTGCCCTCTCCTCTTCCTCAACAATCTCTGCTAGCCTGCCCTCTCCTCTGCCTCAACAATCTCTGCTAGCCTGCCCTCTCCTCTTCCTCAACAATCTCTGCTAGCCTGCCATCTCCTCTTCCTCAACAATCTCTGCTAGCCTGCCCTCTCCTCTTCCTCAACAATCTCTGCTAGCCTGCCCTCTCCTCTTCCTCAACAATCTCTGCTAGTCTGCCCTCTCCTCTTCCTCAACAATCTGGCCTGTCCTCTCCTTATAAGCAACCACCAGCGCGTCCGGGTCGGCCCACACGAGATCGCACATCAGCCCGTAGGGTGGGATAAGGGTGGGGCGGGCAATCTGGAGCGTGGTTCCCTGCTGTTCGAGTCCCTTTAGAATACCTGATTGATCTGTTCGAGGCTGGCGAGATTTGGGGACAGCCCCCCGTGCATGGCCAACACCTTGGTGCCGATAAGGGCGGCAATGGGCATCCAGTTGAACATCGAGATCAGGTGCAGCCACACGTACTCGCCGCTGAAAAAAGATAATTGAATTAAATAGATAATTAATCGGTTCTTTGGCATTAGCGGGGGGTTGTATAAGTCTAGAAATGCCAAGTAAGTTAATAGGAAGTGTTTTAATAGTGTTTTTAGCAAAATATAACTATATTTCAGTTCGCAAAACTTTCGAAATTGTTCAGAAAATAAATATATGATCAAAAACTGCCATTTTGGCCCGAAGAATCCATGTTTTAGCATTTTTTTAGAAATTTGTAAGGTTTTTCGTTTAGGAATAGGAAAAAACACCTTAGAATTTAATGTTTTAAACAAATTTAAATTTGTCCCCCCCCCCGATAATGTGAAAGAACCCTCTAAAAACAACCCACTGCTGCTCGCCGTAGCGCTCCATCACCTCGTCGTACAGCCCGTACGTGATGGCCGTGTTGAGGTCCTCGTGGTTGCCGCTGCAATTCCGAAATCGTCGCTGCTAGCCTGCCCACAGCTCCCCAATTCCCAAAAGATCCCCGCTGGCCTGCCCCTTCGTAGTCAACGTACCGTAACAGAAAAACCGATTTTGGGTAGCGGCATCGCATCGCTGCCAGCAGGAGGAACGTCTCGGCGCCCTGAAGGAGGACGGGCTAATTTTTGAGGGCTTAGACTGAGGTTAGGCTTAGTCTTAAGCTTCAGCTTGAGTAGGCTTGGGCTTAGGCTTGGCTTAGGCTTAGGCTTGGCTTAAGCTCAGGCTCCGCTCAGGCTTTGTCTTAGACTTCGGCTAAAGCTTACTAGTTAGGCTTGGGCTTAGGATTAGGCCTAGCTTCGGTTTGAGGCTAGGTTAGGCTTAGTCTTAAGCTTCAGCTTGGCTTAGGCTTGGGCTTAGGCTTGGCTTAGACTTAGGATTAGGTCGAAGCTTAGGCTTAGCTTAGGCTCGGCTTAGCTTAGAAAAAGAAACCGCCAACCCTACCTGCAGCCCGCGATCGACGTAATCACCCAAGAACAGATAGTGCGCCCCGGTGCCGTCCGCCCCCGGCATCCCGATGTGGTTGATCATCATGCGCAGGTCGCGCAGCTGGCCGTGCAGATCACCGAAAATGTGCACGGGGCCTTCGGTACTAAAGAAGAGGAGAGCTAGCAGAGACCATTGAGGAAAGCGTACGCAGGGATACGGAGCATCATCGGCTCTGACTTGAACGACTCGACGGCTAGTCGGGTGAGGCGGCGGACCTAGAAGAGGTGTTGAAGGCGGGCAGGTTAGCAGAGATTGTTGAGGAAGAGGAGAGGGCAGGCTAGCAGAGATTGTTGAGGAAGAGGAGAGGGCAGGCTAGCAGAGATTGTTGAGGAAGAGGAGAGGCAGGCTAGCAGAGATTGTTGAGGAAGAGGAGAGGGCAGGCTAGCAGAGATTGTTGAGGAAGAGGAGAGGGCAGGCTAGCAGAGATTGTTGAGGAAGAGGAGAGGGCAGGCTAGCAGAGATTGTTGAGGAAGAGGAGAGGGCAGGCTAGCAGAGATTGTTGAGGAAGAGGAGAGGGCAGGCTAGCAGAGATTGTTGAGGAAGAGGAGAGGGCAGGCTAGCAGAGATTGTTGAGGAAGAGGAGAGGGCAGGCTAGCAGAGATTGTTGAGGAAGAGGAGAGGGCAGGCTAGCAGAGATTGTTGAGGAAGAGGAGAGGACACGCTAGCAGAGATCCTTCAGGATTACTACCTCTCTCGGCGTGATGCAAACGTCGACGAACGGGGCCTTCAGCTGGGCGAAGGCAAGGCCGGGGATCGGGTTCTAAAAATAACTATGGACAATTGGTTACGCTCTAGCCTGCCATCCACACAACCCGGGTTCGAATCCCGGCCGCGGCAAATTTATCGCTTTTTGGCCCTACGTACCGGTATGTAGGCTTCGGGCTCCTGCTTCAACCCGGCACTCATGATGCGCTGGATGAGGCTGTTGAGGAACGAGGTGTCCGTTTCCGCTTCATCGACCGTCACGGGCGTCGCTTCCACTACCGTAACTTCCAAGGCCGTCTTCACGTCGAGGTCGAGCTGAAGAAATTTGAGTGAGCTCGAATTCCTCAACAATCTCCGCTGGTTGTCGAAACCTACTTGTTTCTGGCTGGTCCCGATCGCCCCATCGACGGCCGCCATGGCGAGTGATATCAATGGTTTTGTTTATTCGAGCTACCGATGTCGGGGCGGCAAGCCGGATATGTTAATTTTTTATTCAATCTTTTTTACCTTCTCGCTCTCTCCTCTCTTTCTCTCTCCCCCTCCCTCTCTCTCTCTCTCTCTCTCTCTCTCTCTCACTCCCTCTCACTCACTCTCACGCACTCTCCCGTCATTTCGACTATTAACAAACTTCGTACTTTGGTATTATCGGGGGGCCGGGGGCGTGTATTTTTTAATCTAAATAGAAGAAGTGAAGCGTAAAGACGCTTAATTTTTATTAAAAAATCCAACAAACACCGTGTTTCGACCAAAAATGGCAATTTTAAAAAATAAAATTTTTAAAAGCTGTAGATTTTTTCGGCTAATGAAAAAAATTATCCCCCCCCGATATGCAAAAGAACCGCAAAAATTTAGCTTGGTTAGGCATCATAATTCCCTTTGTTCTGTCGAAATCACGCTCTGTTTTGGGGTGTAGAAAACAGGTTTTTTTTTCTCGATTGGGGGCGGAGTGATAAACAATGCTTATCGCGATTTCAAGCGGACCGACCCATAGGCAACTTGAAACTTCAAAACCTCCCGCAACAGAAGAAACATGCGTGTTCTAATCGTTGCCCTTTTGTTTTGCGCCCTCGCCGCCGGGGCAATTTTCGACTTGCAGGTGGGGTGAATTTGGCATATAAAATAGCTATTTCTATATTTTAAATGTTAAATTAATTAATTAAATTATTAAATTAAAATTTTCAAAATAAAAAGAGCCGATTTGAGAAATACCATAAATACGCATAAAGTTTCAGACGGTAAATTTCGCCAAAAACTTGAAGGGTTTAGTCAGAAAAAATTAGATAAACCATTTATAGGTCCTTGTGCATTATCGGGGGGGGGGGCGTTTTTTCGAAAGCCCTAAAAAGATAATAGTAAGTGATTTATGTGAGTTTTTTATTAAAAATTAGTTATGTTACAGTGGGCAGGCATCTCTAAAAAAATAACAATGTGCCTAAAAATCGAAATTTTCTCCAAAAATCGACATTTTTTGGATTTAAATCGATATTTTTTGGATTTTTAAATAAAAAGTAGAGAAAAGCTTACAAAAACAATCTGTGTTTATATTGAAAAAATTAGATAATAAAGAAAAATCCTCCCGATAAAACGAAAGCACCTAGAATTCCCCTCAAAACCGCTAAAATTTAAATGTTTGTTAAAGAAAATCAAGGTGAAAACAAAAATTAACAATAGCAATTACGACATTAAGTTATTACATGACTTAGAACAGCAACAAAAAAGGCTATTAAATCGGAATTTAATAAGAATTTTATTCTATTAGCTGGCTAATTACAAATCGCCTTCGGCACATCAATACAGTTCCACAAAAGTCTGCTGTTACCTGAAAATTTAAAACTCTATTTTTTCACGGAAATTGTAATACAGAATTCAGGTAAGGCAATAAACTAAAAAAAAATATAGATTCTAAAGAATATTAAATAGTTTTAACACAGTTTTCAGGATCGAGTTTTCGGCGTGCTTCCACTGAAAATGCGCCGCGGCTACCGGAAGTTGACAACTTTTGGGAAGGTTAAAGGTACGTCTCTCTCTCTCTTTCTCCTTCTCTCTCTCTCTCTCTCTCTCTCTCTATCGCTCACACTCACTCTCTCTCTCTATCGCTCACACTCACTCTCTCTCGCTCTCGCTGTCATCCCTCTATATAAATTTATTCAGATTGCCCAACATTTTGCCAATCCTACCACCGCCGCCCCGGGTACTGTACGCCCACGCCGGAAAGTGACGCTTGCACACCGTACTGTGGCTGTGGCGCTGCATGCAAATGTCGATAGGAAAAAGCAACTTTTAATGTTGAAAAATCTATATAGAGCCGCTAATATTACTGCTGCCAATTCAAATATTAGTTCAAACCCGAAATTCTTGTGTTACAAAAAATTGCCTCATAAAATTCCAAAACCAAAAAAATGGTCCGCCCTTTAATTCTAGCTTCTTATGACACTCACCTTCTTTATTTTTTTGTTGTAAAATATGGTGTTTTCTCTGTTTATAAAATGGTCAATATCTGCTGCTATTCTGTATTGTTTTTCGAAAAAATATCTTTCACTAAATTAAGAGGATAACACAGCTTTGAAAATGCTTAATTTAGAAATGGAGAGGAAGGTGCACCTTTTTTAATGTTGAGAGCTCTACTGTAAGCGTCGGATGTAGAGCTCTGAAATTACAGGAAATTTCAAGCTTCAGATAATTGTTTTCCAAAAAAAATATTTCATCAAATTCCCAAGATCCGATAATTTGGCCTACCTTTAATGGTGAGTCGCAATTGTCCTTCGTCCACCATTAACTTTTTTTATGTAAAACCAACGCCTAAAACCCGCTTCGCGGGCCTTGGGCGCTGGAATGTGGCCTTTGCATGAGAAATTTGCCTTCCCGATAGCTCGTGTCTTTCGGACCCCCTTCCCTCGTCCGACCACACGCGCGCGTGGAACTTGCAAGAATGAGAAAATTTGTATTTTTTCACATTATGCAAATTAGCCCTCAGGGACCCCAAAAATGGGTAAAACCGGCTTTAACTTTGTAAACTTGTATTTTATCGAAATTCTGGACACGCGATCGGAAACAGAAGGGTCGATTCCCCCGGGTGACGGAGAATTGGGACGTTTTGGACACGGGAAGGCCCTCAAATCGGGTCTTGAAACTGACATCCACACACACACAAAGATACACGCCAAAATTATATAAGGTAGGACCAGGGTTGAAAAGCCGCTTCGCGACTTTTCAACCCTGGTCCCGTCTTATCCAATGAAAGTTCTCAATTTGAATAATTCTCGGGAACCGCAATGCCAAAAAAAACATGGAAAAGACGCCTTCGAACCCTTTATATAAGCTTTTCTCACTTCCGGCGTATGCTAATTGATTTCTAACAAAGAGGGTGACGGAAATTTTCAGAAAAACCTAATTTTAATATCGAAAATAGAACTTTTTGGACGATTTAGCAAATGTGCAGTCGTCTCGAGACGATTACGCATCTAATGACGTATCAAACATACTCTAAAACCCTTTCTCTACCGAGATACGACTGGAACATACTGACGGAAGTTGCACGCAAAGTTACACACACACACACACATACACTATTTTTTATATATAGTAGGATTTGTAAATCAAAGTGTTTTGTCTGTTTGTAAAATCGTCAATTTCTGATGCTATTTTGTAGTTTTTCGAAAAATAATATGTTGGACTAAATAAAGACTATAAAATGCTTTGAAAAGCTTTAATTTTATTGATTAAAACAGGCTATTATATAAACTTTATAAAACGATTCGTGGGCTTTATAAAATAAAATACACGTATCACGGGGGTTGATTCATCAAAACAATCGCTTTAAGAGAAGTAGGGGGTAATTATTTCGCATCAAGTTTTAAAATCAGATTTAAAAAATTTGTTTTTCAAGACCTGAGAAAATTAAAAAAAAACCGCTTAAAAACAGGATTAAGCAGCTTTTAAAATGTTGTAAAAATCACAGTATAAATCAATAAAATCCTGGATATTGATTTGGTGAAGAAAAGGCACTTTTTGTACATATTGACGAGGGGGAACGTCGAGTTCAGACATTTGAAGCGTGGTTCGGGTCGGGGATTTCTGCAAAAATGTAAGGTTTTTAATTGCAGCAATTTTCAAATTCAATATTAAGATAAAATAAAATAATATTAAATTGATAATGGAACACTGCACATCGGTCAATCCAAAATAGGTATTTGAAAATTAGTAAAACCATTTTATTTTTAAGATTTTTGAAAAATAAAGATGCGCAAGCCTACGCTAAGCCAAAGCCGGAACCAAAGCCAAGCCTAAGCCTAATTAAGAAAATTTTACCTTTTATCATTCGCGAGCGCTTGAGGTCGAGCCGGACGAAGTAGAACTGAAATGGAAAATTCAACGTGCTCAAGGTTTCGTGAAACATTTTTTATTTAACTTAACTAGTACATTTAACTATTTTTAACTTAACTATGTAAAATTTATTCAATAAAATTCAATGTATTCAATAAATGGCTACGAGTTGCAAAAGTTACTTACCAAGACTCCAACCAGACAAAGCACTAATAGGCAAGTTATCGTGTAGATGACGATCAGCCATGCCGTCCACATCGCCATTTTTGCGGCTGAAAAAACGTTTTTGAAGAAAGCGAGAGAGGCAGAGAGGGAGACAGTTTGAGAGAGCGCGAGAGCTAGATAGATAGAGAAAAAGTGCGAGAGAGAGTGAGAGAGTATGAGAGGGACTGTGTGAGAGAGCGAGATAGAGAGAGTGAGAGGGTGACCTTGAAAAGAGCCAGAGTGAAAAGAGCGTGAGAGACGGTGAGAGAGAGAGAGAGAGATGGTGAGGGGAGGGAGAGCGCGCGAGATGTGACGTTGCGTTGTCATAAATTACCATATGAACATCCTACTATCCTACTATATATAAAAAAATAGTTATGATACGTCATTAGGTGCGTAATGGCTCTGGGATGACTGCACGCATGTCAGATTTTGCAAATTATATTATTTTCGACATTAAATTTAGATTTTAGTGAAATTTTCGGGCACCCTCTTTGTTAGGAAACAATTTGCATACGCCGGAAGTGGTGGGGGTCTATATATAGGGGCAGAGGGAGCGTTTTCCATTATTTTTCATCGCAGCCCGGGCGAATTATGCAAAGTGAAGAATAATATGGGCTCAGACGGAGCCAGGGTTGAAAAGTCGCGTAGCGGCTTTTCAACCCTGGTATATAAAAAATAGTGTCTGTGTGTTAGTGTGTGTGTGCCACTTTGCATGCAACTTCCGTCAGGGTGTCCGGAAGATATCTCAAGAACGGAAGGGTATTAAGCAACGTTTGATACGTCATTAGATGCGTAATGGCTCTGGGATGACTGCACGCATATCAAATGTTGCAAATTCTGCTATTTTCGACATTAAAATTAAGTTTTTGTTGAAAAATCGGCCGATCTCTTTGTTAGGAAAAATTAGCATACTCCGGAAGTGACGTTAGCCTATATATAATGCGAGAGAAGGGCGTTTTTCATTTTTTCAATGCAAGGCATTCGAGATACCTATGCAGAGCGAAGACTATTATGGGGTTGGACGGGGCCAGGGTTGAAAAGTCGCGAAGCGGCTTTTCAACCCTGGTTATTTAGATAAAAGCGATAAAACAATAGAATATATTGATAAAATAGAGTGGAATTAAATTATGTTTTAAGGTTTCTAAATCCGCTAAAGTTCCACGAAATGAGCGCGTGTCTTGTGTTTGAGCATTCTGCTGGCCGGGAGGTTGTCTGCCATCTGAGGGTGGTGTTGGCTGGGATTGTTTGTTCGTTGCCAAAGTGTGCCGACACGCCCGGGCGAGAGAGTGGAGAGAGAGAGAGAGAGAGAGAAAGAGAGAGAGAAAGAGAGAGAGAGAGAGAGAGAGAGAGAGAGAGAGAGAGAGAGCGAAAGAGAGAACCCCTGAAACTAAAGAAACCAAGACAAAAGGACCCGGGGCACCCGGCTGGCCGGTTGCCAGACCGAAAATCGAGATTCTGAAGCTGGCTCCAGAATTTAGATTTTCAAGATTTTATTAAAACCCCATTTAATAGTTTTTATTTACTTCTAAACCTATAGTTTTAACGTCGGAAAAACCGTCTAAACAACCACCCAAATCCAACTAAAAATCTGCCGAATTTCCGATGAGCATCGGGATTGAAATTCGAGCAGGCTGAACTCCGAGAAAGGCGGGATTTTTTGGTTTGCTTAAATTAGTATTAAAGTGAAAATTGGTTTAAACCAGCCTTTGAAAAATATGTGGGCTTCACCAAAAATCGCAATCAAATATTTTTTGGCAAAAAATAAAAGTTTCAAAAATCTATAAAAGGTCGTTCCAAACTGTAAGCTTAATGGATGCGACTGCGCCAACTAAATGAAAGAAAAAACTATAAAAGAAATAAGAATTATAGACGTGGGAATTTATGATTAAAGAAAAGCGAATCTGGAATTATATAACTTCTTTATGCTTTTACCAGGGTTGAAAAGCCGCTTCGCGACTTTTCAACCCTGGCCCCGTCTGAACCCATGATATCTTGCACTTTGCATATTCGGCCGAATTTCGATGAGAAATAATGAAAAATGCGTCATCTCCGTCGTTATATAAGCTGCCGCCACTTCCGGCGTATGCTAATTATTAATTCCTAACAAAGAGGCTGTCCGATTTTTTAACAAAAATGGTTTTTTAATGTCGAAAATAGCATAATTTGCTAAATCTGATATGCATGCAGTCATCTCCAGACCATTACGCACCTAATGACGGATCATACGTAGTCTAATACCCTTCCCCCTTTGAGATATCCTCCGGACACCCTGACGGAAGTTGCATGCAAAGTGGCACACACACACACACACACACACAAACACTATTTTTTTATATATAGTAGGATAGCTTTGGCCAATATTTTTATTATAGTAAAACTTACGATAGATAAATTATTTGAATAATTTCATTTCTTCTGTAAAACAAAACATATAAAATAACGCGTGAAAACAAATAAACAGGGCTATTCAACCTGAAAAAAGAATTCTGTCATATTTTTATGCTTCAGTTTCTCGTAGTATTTTTCGTCGAATTATGCAAAAAAATGTTGCAACATTTTGTGGGTTGTATCAAAATATTTTTGGAATAATTTAGGCATGGTCGACGTCTTTTAATTTTAGATCCAAAAATTCGCAAATAGCCAGAGAATGTTGTAGTTCGTCAAAAAAAATTCCCGGAGCACGCCGGGGGGCCAAAAGGAGCCCGCCACACCGGAGATTGGATTAGGAACGGACCCCCCTCCGGTCCCAGTGGCCAAATTCGACTCCTCGTTTTGCTTCTAAAAATGTAAATAAATAAATAAATAAGGACATAATTATAAAACCATTTGAAAACTACATATTCATGCTTAAATAAACCTAAATCTAAATTCATATATATTTAGAATATACAAAATATAGCTTTTGATAAAAGCGTTGTATTTAAAATTCGTTCTATATTAAAAGGATTGCATTTAAAAATAGTCGAATCGACCTAGGGCTCTACTCTCTCTCTCTCTCTCTCTCTCTCTCTCTCTCTCTTTCTCTCTCCTTTCTCTCTCTCTTTCTCTCTCTTCCTCTCTTTCACTCTCTCTCTATCCTTCTCTCTCTCTCTCTCTCTCACTTTCTCGGTCTCTCCATCTCTCTCTCTCGCTCCTTCCTAGAAAAAAAAAATACAATTTAGAACCACAAAAAATAAGAAATACGTCATGGCAGTTGGGGGAGGAAGGCTCAGGAGAATCGTACAGCCGTAAAAACAGGGCTGCAGCTTCTGCCCTTCCCGTCACCTGCTAAGCACGAAAACGCTGATAAGGCAGGCAATCAAAAGATACTTTACCCCCTTAATAAAGGTTTAAGCCTTTATATACTATCGCTAACAAAAAATAATAAAAAATCTGTGCGATTTTTAAATAAAATCACTTAAAAAAATCAGCCAGGAAATTTTTGAAAGACAGGTGTTTCATGCTTTTTGGACTTTGAATTTGGAAAATCTGGATTAATCACGAGGTGATATGGTATTTCTGATTCAGATCTTCTGTAATGAGCCCATAGGCGATTGGTTAGGCTCTAGCCTCTCAGGCACATAGCCCGGGTTCGACCCCCGGGCGAGGCATAATTTTTTGCTCATTGGTCAGGGGCAAGGAATTTGATGGCGTAATCGAATCACGGCCAGGAAATCACAGTTCTAGGCGAAAAATGCGTAAAAATCGGCCCTAAACATAATTTTTGCGACTCCAGGGGCATGGCTCATTGGTTAAGCGCCAGCCTCCCAGGCACAAGGCCCTGGTTCGATCCCTGGCGAGGAGCAACTTTTTGTTTTTTTGGTTTGGGGCAAGGAATTTGATGGAGTAATCGAATGCCGGCCAGGAAGGAACAGTCCTAGGCGAAAAATGCGTAAAAATCTGATCGAGAAATGATTTTGCGACTCCAAGGGCATCCCCATTGGTTAAGCGCCAGCCTCCCAGGCGCATGACCCGGGTTCGACCCCCGGGCGAGGCGCAACTTTTTGCTCTTTGACTACAACCTGAGTAATGAATAGTTCTTGCTAGGAAAAGCTTAGAGAGCCCGAAAGAAATTGGGGGAGCCAGCGGGCGTGGCTTGGCGAATCTGAAATCGCGGCGCTGTGGGGGAGTGTGTGTATCTGATTCACTTTGTTTACATTTTGCATGTGCACGCGGTGGGGGGTTCTAGAGACTAGCGGGGGGGGGGGAGGGGGCATTTTCCTGAGAGCCGGCCAAGATTCCCGGCCGGAACGGAGCTCAAAACCCTGGAAATCATGGTTTTAAGGGGCCGGGAATTGAAAAAGACAATGTCGGCAGCTAAAATACCGACAGGTTAAATCCCGAGCCGGTAAAATGCCGACAGCCAGAGTGTCAACATCCAGAATGCCGACAGCAAAAACTGGACAAGCAAAAATCCCGAAAGCCGAAATCCTGACAGGCAAAATTCGGACAACGAAAATGCCGACAGCCAAAATGCCGACAGCCAAAATTCAGATGTTGGCCAAAATACCGACATCCAAAATTCCGAGACGTCAAAATCCCGAGAAGTTGAAGTATCGACATTCAGAGTGCGGACAGCCAGAATCCCGACGAGCAAAATCCCGGGAGCAATGCCGACAGCCCGAAGCCGGACAGACCAAATCACAAAAGCCGAAATGCCGACAGCCAGAATTCCGACCAAAGGCCAGAACACCGACATCCGAAATCCCCGAGACGTCAAAATCCCGACAACCAGATTGCGTACACAAAAAATGCCGACAGCCAGAATCCCGACAATTTAAAATCCCGACAGTAAAAATGCAGACAACAACAATGCCGGCAGCCACAACCCGTCAAAAAGATGCCGGGATTCTGGCTGTCGGGATTTTTTGCTTCCGGTATTTTCGTTGTCGGTATTTTGAAGGAGCCTGTAGATGGTTTTAACGGGGCTAGGAAGTGTTGGAATACGAAAAGTCATGCCAAAAATGGAACATTCTCGAAAAAATCGATAGTTCTTCGATGTGAAGCGGGATCCGCTGATCGCACAGCTGCACCCCCCCCGCTTTTCCGGGCCTTTTCCGCTATTTTGACGTGTTGGCGAGCCATTTTCGGATTGCGGCGCGCTTCAATGGGCCAGAAATGGAAAAAAAACAGAGAAAATCCATCACAAAAAGACAAGAGAGAGAGAGAGAGTGTGAGAGAGAGAGCGGCGGAAGAGAGAGCGTTTTTTATTATTCGTCGATAACCCGTTTGAATTTTTTGGAACATTTTTGCGAGTTTTGAAAACAGTGAATCGCAACAGATTTTAGGGTTCTTAAAGGAAACAGATAAAAGATTATAGATAGATTAAAAAAGATAAATGACACAATCCTATTTTTAAGGATAAAAATAGGGTTGCAAAAGTAAGCTAAAAATAAGTTAAGATGTGCTAGCAGGGCCGAAAGATTTTTTGAAACATGACGCTTTTCACGGGTCATCCGCAGAGAATATGCCAGGATAAGGGCTGTCGCTTTTTCGGGAGCCCCAGCCCATAACTCACTTTCTGCCGAAACGGGGCCCAACCAAACGTGTGAATCTACAAGAAAGGGTCATAGAAGACCTGGCGGTTCCCCTTTAAAATCAATGTTTCATCTTTAAAAAACCTGCAAACTTGAGAAAATTTAGGAATAGAGATTCTTCAGAAAAATTTTTTAATTTTTGCTATAAAAGCTTTATAAAATTACTTTTTCTGTAAATCGATGCCATGACGAGGCGGCAAAACCAGAACGAAATTACCAAAAAATTGTGTATACATGTCGGTGGCGGCGCGCCGACAAAAGTTTTCGATTTTTTCGTCTCTTCGCTAGCCCTAGCCTCCACAATGTCAATGCAAATAAACCCCGGCGGCCACCCTCAAAAGCGGCTCCGCCCCTTTTTAGATTGGAATGCAGCCCGAAGCCGAAATTTACATCCCAATCCTTTCAACAATCTCTGCTAGCCTGCCCTCTCCTCTTCCTCAACAATCTCTGCTAGCCTGCCCTCTCCTGTTCCTCAACAATCTCTGCTAGCCTGCCCTCTCCTCTTCCTCAACAATCTCTGCTAGCCTGCCTTCTCCTCTTCCTCAACAATCTCTGCTAGCCTGTCCTCTCCTCTTCCTCAACAATCTCTGCTAGCCTGCCCTCTCCTCTTCCTCAACAATCTCTGCTAGCCTGTCCTCTCCTCTTCCTCAACAATCTCTGCTAGCCTGTCCTCTCCTCTTCCTCAACAATCTCTGCTAGCCTGCCCTCTCCTCTTCCTCAACAATCTCTGCTAGCCTGTCCTCTCCTCTTCCCTCAACAATCTCTGCTAGCCTGCCCTCTCCTCTTCCTCAACAATCTCTGCTAGCCTGTCCTCTCCTCTTCCCTCAACAATCTCTGCTAGCCTGTCCTCTCCTCTTCCTCAACAATCTCTGCTAGCCTGCCCTCTCCTCTTCCTCAACAATCTCTGCTAGCCTGTCCTCTCCTCTTCCTCAACAATCTCTGCTAGCCTGCCCCTCTCCTCTTCCTCAACAATCTCTGCTAGCCTGTCCTCTCCTCTTCCTCAACAATCTCTGCTAGCCTGCCCTCTGCTCTTCCTCAACAGTCTCTGCTAACCTGCCCTGGTCTTTTTCCAAGCTTCTGTTCATTCCTCCTTTCGTTTGGTTCTTACAGCTTTACCCAGGATTGCGCCCCATTAGTCATAAAACCATTAGTCATAAATTCCAATAGTCATAAATGTTATGAAACTGATGGCTTGGAAATGTTATTCTCTGACATAATCCCGTTAACAAATCCAAAATTAATAGGCTTAATCATATCCGATCACGTGCAACCAAGAAGTTTGATTCGAGAACACGACAAGGACCATCACATACAGGAGTTTATGACTATTGGAATTCATGACTATTGAATTTATGACCAATGGAATTTATGACTAATGGGTTTATGACTAATGGATTTCGCCCCTTACCCAGTATTCTGCAAGAAGTGGCTAAGTAGGCTGCGCGCGACCGAAACATTTATTTAAATACCCCTTACCTCATACTAAAACTTTAATATCTCAAATTTTAAGGTTCTGTAGCAAATTCGGAAAACGAGTCGATTATCAGCGTGGTCGATTCTATAAGTGTACAAGCTTTCAGCCCGATGCGTGTTGCGGGTATTTTGGACCTCCCTAGTCAGGGGACTAGGGCGTTTCCGGGCCAAAATGTTATCGCAGCAACACTCATCTCTTCATTTTTCGAAGCTAGCATGTTTCCGCAAGTTTTTCGGCTTATTAGGCCTAAAAAAAATCCTAAACAATTCCTAAATTGCCTATTGTTTGGAGCTTATAGAATTATGATGCGTTAGCTTTCGGGTCATGGAGCAACCTGAAGTTGCTAGTTTCTCAGGCGGAGATTTTCAGGGGGAGATTTTAGTGGCAAAAAACACATTTGCATAATTTTTGACTCACGATTATTAACCCCCGATTCTTAACCCCCGATTCTTAACTCCCGATTCTTAACCCCCGATTCTTAACCCTCGATTCTTAACCCCCGATTCTTAACCCCGATTCTAACCCCCGATTCTTAACCCCCGATTCTAACCCCCGATTCTTAACCCCGATTCTTAACCCTGATTCTTAACCCCCGATTCTTAACCCCCGATTCTTAACCCCCGATTCTTAACCCCCGATTCTTAACTCCCGATTCTTAACCCCCGATTCTTAACCCTCGATTCTTAACCCCGATTCTTAACCCCGATTCTTAACCCCCCGATTCTAACCCTGATTCTTAACCCCCGATTCTTAACCCCCGATTCTTAACCCCCGATTCCTAACTCCCGATTCTTAACCCCCGATTCTTAACCCTCGATTCTAACCCCGATTCTTAACCCCCGATTCTCAACCCTGATTCTTAACCCCCGATTCTTAACCCCCGATTCTTAACCCCCTTTTCTTAACCCCCGATTCTTAACCCCCGATTCTTAACCCCCGATTCTTAACCCCCGATTCTTAACCCCCGATTCTTAACCCCCGATTCTTAACCCCCGATTCTAACCCCGATTCTTAACCCCCGATTCTTAACCCCCGATTCTTAACCCCTGATTCTTAACTCCCGATTCTTAACCCCCCGATTCTTAACCCCGATTCTAACTCCCGATTCTTAACCCCCGATTCTTAACCCTCGATTCTTAACCCCCGATTCTTAACCCCTGATTCTTAACCCCCGATTCTTAACCCCCGATTCTTAACCCCGATTCTTAACCCCGATTCTTAACCCCCGATTCTTAACCCCTGATTCTTAACCCCCGATTCTTAACCCTCGATTCTTAACCCCCGATTCTTAACCCCTTTTCTTAACCCCCGATTCTTAACCCCCGATTCTTAACCCCGATTCTTAACCCCGATTCTAACCCCGATTCTTAACCCCGATTCTTAACCCCCGATTCTTAACCCCCTGATTCTTAACCCCCGATTCTTAACCCCCGATTCTTAACTCCCGATTCTTAACCCCCGATTCTTAACCCTCGATTCTTAACCCCCGATTCTTAACCCCCGATTCTTAACCCCCGATTCTTAACCCCCGATTCTTAACCCTCGATTCTTAACCCCCGATTCTTAACCCCCGATTCTTAACCCTCGATTCTTAACCCTAACAGTGCAGAACCCATAACAATCTGAAGCCGTCACCCCCAGCGGTTCTGTGTTCAGTGCCAAACTATCGCGTGTATGTGTTAAACGATTCATTTTATTAAGGATAATAAGTGACAGAGAAAGGACCAAATTAGTGAGCAGCAGTTGGGCGCGTAGAAGATGAAGACCGTCAAGCATCGAGCAGGTTAAATACGGCGTTCGTGTCGACTGCAAGAACAAATTTGGGAATGGCGGCAGAAATTTTAGAATAGGAAAACTTTTTGCTTTCTATTCTCAACAGTTCGACCGAAATTTCGAATCTATTTATTCTTTTGAATCATGACAAAAAGATTTTATATAGCGATAAAATATTCCTTATCTTTCTAGCCATCATAAACTACCAATATCGCCATAAACCCCGCTATTAATTGGCGGAAAAATAAAAGTTGGCTCCCCCCCCCCCTTCAGCGGAAAGGAGCGCTGATGACCCGCTTCGAGCCGGCTGATTTTTTGACAGTACCTCAAGCGAGTTGAGCTGATCGGCCGTGGGGTGGATGTGGGTCACCGGGAGCTTGAGCGGGATGTCGGCCTTCAACACATCCGGGTCGATGTTCTTCGTGTGCTGGCTGCTGGAGCGCTTGGGCTCGCCCTGGCCCTGCGTGTCCAGCTCGGTCGACGAAGCCACGCCGTGAAGAGGCTTGTCGTCGTTGTTGTCGCTGGGGCCCTGTAAATCGTTGCGAGGGTATCAGTTCAGTTCCGCGACACTCAGTTCCCCGACAATTATAAGGTGCTATTTTAACGTAATTATAATGGTGGTTAGATTCCCTAATTGTCGGGGAACCGAGTGTCGGGGAACTGATTTGTCGGGGAACCGATCGGAATTCCGTTGCGAGTTACGGGTATTTTCTCATTTTAGCCATGTTATCTTATGTGTGTCCGCCTTTCCTGCAGAAAGGTGATCATGAATTCCGACCATCTCGCCGAAAACCATCTCGCCGAAAAACCATCTCGCCGAAAACCATTTCGCCGAAAAACCATCTCGCCGAAAACCATCCGGCCGAAAACCATCTTGCCGAAAACCACTTCGCCGAAAACCATTTCGCCGAAAACCATCTCGCCGAAAACCATCTCGCCGAAAACCATCTCGCCGAAAACCAACTCGCCGAAAATCTAATTTTGTATGCAAATTTTTTCGCGTATTTGCGGTCATCCCCCAGGTCACAAAAAAGTAAAGAAAGTTGCTTTTTTCAGGGTCTCTGTGCACGGACACTTCCCCTATGATTTGAGGTCGAAAACCGATTGGTTCAGTCATGCTCAGTGTTTTTTCCAGTATTAGACCAAAATGCACCAAGCCTGAAAAAAATTTGCATACAAAATTAGTATTTCGGCGAGTTGGTTTTCGGCGAGATGGTTTTCGGCGAGATGGTTTTCGGCGAAATGGTTTTCGGCGGGATGGTTTTCGGCGAAATGGTTTTCGGCAAGATGGTTTTCGGCGAGATGGTTTTCGGCGAAATGGTTTTTCGGCGAAATGGTTTTCGGCGAGATGGTTTTTCGGCGAGATGGTTTTCGGCGAACTGGTCCGATACCGGTGATCATGTACCTCTGGAAGAAGATTGCCGCCGAGTCCGTCGCGGGCCAACACGTCGTTGATGATGTTTCCGCTGCCCTGGTTGGGCGCTGTTTCGGCATCGCTGCCGCCGGGGAGACGGCCGTCGTAGGGAGACATCGCCAGCAACTCCGGGTACGGGGCGATCCCCATCGTTTCGCAAACATCCAAGAGATGCGAGCGCTTCTGGTCCGCCTAAAAGTAGATGTAGAAGCTAGCAATCTTACAACGAAATGCAGACACGCTTTTTCTCGGCTTTTACATAGTTTTTTAGATACAAAAACCAAAAAAACGCGTTAAAATTGGTTCTTTCGCATTATCGGGGGGGGGGGGGGACTGAATTTTCCCTGTAAACTTGGAAATGCCTAATAACTCAATGGGGAGTATTTTAACAGCGTTTGTAGTGAAATAAAACTAGATTGAACTAGAAGCACTAGATTTAGAAAGCGTTCAAAAATATTTTTAAAACTCTTAGTATATTTTTGGATGCCTTTTCGAATGCACTTTTTCTATAATGTTATTTTCAACTATTATTAAAGCCATACTATCCGTTTCGATTTGCTATGAAAACGCAAGAAAAAACCCAAAAATAGCGATACTTTCGAATACCCTGCTGTTTTGCTGCCCCCGGCGTAGATTTTTGCCGCCCCCCCCAAATAGAATAGTACCGAATAAAGGCGCGGGCCAGTCAATTCTAAAATCCCCTCGAACGAATATGCCTACATAAATGAGCCGATGCTGCAATTGGATGGCGCGTCCGAACCCGATGGCAGAATGGGCGATCAGCGTCTTCCACAGACGGCTCGTGTCATCGACAACGGGGCCGACTAGAGCCCTTCCCTTCACAATCTGGCGGTTGAGCGTGTGGAACGCCGCAGGGAGATGGCCCTAAATGTACAGGGTGCCCCCAGAAAACAATCGCCCCTGGGCATTTGGCCGTCTTTTATCGGGTCGGTACCAAATTTGGCTAAACTCCAGATAACCTCCCCCCCCCACCCGGGCCCCAACTTTGTACCTCGGCCCCCTGTTTGTTGACAGGGGTGTAAAGTATGCCAAATACTCGCCAGAGCAAGACGAACATTTTGGTTGACTCTACACACCTGTAGATGTACAGGGAGCCGAGATACAAAAATTGGGGGCCGGCTGGGCGGGGGGAGGGGGTGATCTAGAGTCTTACCAAACACTATCCTACTATATATAAAAAATAGTGTTTGTGTGTGTGTGCATTTGCATGCAACTTCCGTCACCGTGTTCCAGTAGTATCTCAAGAAGGGAGCAAGTTAGGGGGATGTTTGATACGTCATTAGGTGTGCATGGCTCCCGAGATGACTGCACACATATTACATTTTTACAAAATATGCTGTTTTCGACATTAAAATTAAGTTTTTCATGAAAAATCGGACACCCCTCTTTGTTAGGACCAAATTAGCATGCACCGGAAGTCGCGGTAGGCTAAATAAAGGCACGGAGAGAGCAATTTTCCTTTTTCGCCATCCGTATCCGCGAAAATTATGCAAAGCCAAGAATATCATTGGAGAAGACGGGGCCAGGGTTGAAAAGTCGCGAAGCGGCTTTTCAACCATGGTAAAAACTAATAAAAATCTTCTAAAATTGTTGCTTTTTTTGGTCGAAACGTATGAAAAATGACCAAAAACGCCAAATTTCCGAAATTTCAGAAATTTTAAAAAACAGACTAAAAACAGCATAAAAATCAACTATAAGATATTTTAATATATCATCAACTGCAAGTGGCCCCACGCGCTATCACAAATTTTGTTGCGGATGAAGCTTTTGGCATAAAGTGGCTTACGGGTAAGATGAAGAGCGGTGCCATCGAAGCGGGAAGACCTAAGTCTCTCGCAATGTAAGGTTCACTTCCACCGCTTGCCCTAAATACGTCGCGTCGTATGCAAAATGAAGCAATTTCCGATGGCGATCCATGTAAATTAAACCATGCGAGGGCGGTTCTGGACTGTTAGCGCGGGGGAAGGAGAAACCAATTTTCCCCCCGGTGTATCTCTACGGCCCCATCACACCATGTAAATAATTTTAGGATTTAACATAAATTTTAGATAACAAAATTTTTTTGACTGGTTGGTCAAAATATATGAAAAATTACCCGGAAGAGGAAACATTTAATTTTCATAAATTTGATTTTAAGACGAAACATTGAACATTTTCGAACAAAATGCTCAGATTTACGACGTTCTCAAACACTTTTCGCACTTTTTTCTTCTCCACTATTTTTTTGCGACATGCATTTTTGCTTCCCCGTCTGCAGTTTTGCGATAGAAATTTTATTCAATATACTTTTGTATGTATACCATGGAAAGTGTAACAATCCAAAAAAGCGGGCGGAATAAGTAGAAACATGGACAATTCGAAAACACGAAACATTTTTTTGACAAATTTCCAAACGTTTGACAGCTTAATTTAAATTTAACATGGACGCATTTTGGCAAGCGATTATTGGATGAAACCGGGAAAAGGGGGAAAATCAGAAAAGTTTAAAAATATGTACATCAGAAAAATCTGTATTTTTAAGAATGGTTGAAACATAGAGTTCTGAAAAATTTTGTGAAGCCATAATTTCAGTGCGAAACGATTGGGACCCGTAATTACATGGGGTGTACGGATTAAAGGGACCGGCAAGGCAGGACTATGGATTTTAGCGCTGTGGATTCCATCGATAGTGTCGCGAAGCGGGGAGACACGCGACGCGACGCAGCACGCAACGCGCGCGCGTAACTTGGCCGTACGACAGTGGTATAATCCATTACGACACGAAAAACCGGGTGTACACGTTGCTGTCGCGCCGCGCCGCGCGTCGCGTGCTGCGTCGCGTTGAAATCTATGCCCAAAATCCATAACCAAAATCGATAAACCCCCAGCCTTGCCGGTCCCTTTAAAAAGTTGCAGATCGTTGAAATGGAGGGGCGTTGAAACTCGGAATTGAACTAGCGGAAATTCGGGGCGGGGCGGATTCGAAAAATGCATTGATACGTAATCATAGTAATGGCATTATAAACAAAAAACTAACATAAAATAATCAATACTAAAATTACATTAATACGGCACGATACGATACGATACGTTGTTGCGAATCATCGGAGTGTAACGGAATAGAATATTTGACAGCAGAAACTGGCCGAAAAAATGTTATTTTTGACTATATCTTCAAGGGCGCATCACAGAAATCGGGACTATAGATTAAATTTTATAATTGTAAAAAGTTGACTATATCGAATAGGGTATTTTATAATTGCTAGCGGGTAGAGAAAAAATAAAAATATGTAAAACTTAAATGAAAAAAATAGAATTTTGGAAGGTGCCAGGGAATTTTTTAGTGCAGTAATTTCTTTAAATTTATATAGTTTCAATAAAAAGCTATCATTTAAAATATAGAAACGCAGTACGTTAAATAAAAAAATTTGCTTTGACATTTCAATTTTTATGTTTCAGAAAAGGCTGAAGTCCGAAAAATCGGCTAAATTATTTGCAACATAGTTTTCGGTTATTACCACTTCCCTGGCACGTTCCCTTTAATGAATAATCGACGAGAAGGGCAAATTCAGGGCGCCGGGCTGAAAAGCCGCAGGGTTGAAGCCGAGCTGCTGCTCGATCGCCTGCGTCGCCAGATTCTGGGCGGCGATCGCATTCAAATTCAGCGGGCTGCTGGCGGCCTGTTGGAGCAGGTTTTGTTGAAGATTCTGCTGTAGATTTTGTTGAAGATTTTGTTGTAGATTTTGTTGGAGATTTTGCTGGAGATTCTGCTGCAACTGCTGCTGTAGGCCCTGCGTCAAGTTCTGCGCCAACTGCAGCCCGGCCGCGGTCGCCGGCAGGGCCGAAAGCGCCGCCGAAGCGGACTGGCCGAGACCTGGAAAAGGGGATTTTTTTAACATAGTTTGGTAGTCTAAATTTTTCTAAATCCCGAATAACGCCTCTTTCCCAACAATCTCTGCTAGCCTGCCCTCTCCTCTTCCTCAACAATCTCTGCTAGCATGCCCTCTCCTCTTCCTCAACAATCTCTGCTAGCCTGCCCTCTCCTCTTCCTCAACAATCTCTGCTAGCCTGCCCTCTCCTCTTCCTCAACAATCTCTGCTAGCCTGCCCTCTCCTCTTCCTCAACAATCTCTGCTAGCCTGCCCTCTCCTCTTCCTCAACAATCTCTGCTAGCCTGCCCTCTCCTCTTCCTCAACAATCTCTGCTAGCCTGCCCTCTCCTCTTTCCCAACAATCTCTGCTAGCCTGCCCTCTCCTCTTCCTCAACAATCTCTGCTAGCATGCCCTCTCCTCTTCCTCAACAATCTCTGCTAGCCTGCCCTCTCCTCTTCCTCAACAATCTCTGCTAGCCTGCCCTCTCCTCTTCCTCAACAATCTCTGCTAGCCTGCCCTCTCCTCTTCCTCAACAATCTCTGCTAGCCTGCCCTCTCCTCTTCCTCAACAATCTCTGCTAGCCTGCCCTCTCCTCTTCCTCAACAATCTCTGCTAGCCTGTCCCTCTCCTCTTCCTCAACAATCTCTGCTAGCCTGCCCTCTCCTCTTCCTCAACAATCTCTGCTAGCCTGCCCTCTCCTCTTCCTCAACAATCTCTGCTAGCCTGCCCTCTCCTCTTCCTCAACAATGTCTGCTAGCCTGCCCTCTCCTCTTCCTCAACAATCTCTGCTAGCCTGCCCTCTCCTCTTCCTCAACAATCTCTGCTAGCCTGCCCTCTCCTCTTCCTCAACAATCTCTGCTAGCCTGCCCTCTCCTCTTCCTCAACAATCTCTGCTAGCCTGCCCTCTCCTCTTCCTCAACAATCTCTGCTAGCCTGCCCTCTCCTTTTCCTCCACAATCTCTGCTACGCTTTGTCTCACCTTGCAACATATTTTGCTGCTGGATGGCGGTTTGTTGGGCGAGTTGTGCGGATACCTAAAGGTAGGTTAAAGACGTTCATAGATCGTTGGTGCCTCTTTGTCGTGTTTCCGAATCCCCCCCCCCTGGACATTGCGTAAGAGCCACCGAAAGTCATCGTACCTGCGCCTGTACTTGGGCCTGAGCCTCGGCTTCTGCCCTCGCCTTCATGGCATGGCTCTTCATGTGGGCGTTCAGCGATTTTACCTGGAATTGTGTAGGATAGACGACTAAATTGGAAAATATATGTTTAATGAATTCACTGGTGAAGTTATAATCACTAAGGCATTGATTTCTTTAAAACCCCCCCAGACAATCACTCACAATACTCTATGCCAAAATATAATTTGTCTATCCCAAAAACCGGGCCGATTGCTCTTCGACGTGACATATTTGCCATTAATTTACCCGAAACATACAGTTTTAAAGGTATCCGTTTTTCGTACCACAAGACATCATTTTTAATGCCACTTCTCTTTGGTTTAACTATGTATAGCGGGTGAGCATGCAATCAAGGAGCTTGTTGCTGACCTTCTCGAAGCACTTGTCACACAGCCGGCAGTGGAAGAAGCCGTCTGCTGAGGGTTGGGCGCCCTTCTTCGAGCCGGACGACACGGAACCGTGTCGGGCTGAGGGCTGCTAAAAATGACGGTTTAATTGCGTTAAAAAAGTCTTAAATTTTTCATTTTTAATTTTTTTACTTGGCCATCCCATTAAATTTCTTTTTTAATTTTTCAAAAACTAAACTAAACTTCTAAATATTTGTAGTATTTTGAAACACGTTTTTGAGGATTGGAATTACCAAAATCAGCTTAAAAAAAGTCATTAGGCAGTATTTCACAATGTGGGAAATCAGAGAAGTGAGACTATATCAAATTACCCGGCTAAAAACTCACGAAATCGCTAAATTGTTTGATACCTATTTTTCATCATCAAATTTTTCCAATGAAAAAAGCGCCTTGACTTAAGACGCTCAGATGAAACATAAAAATCCATAAAACTTCGCAAAAATACGGTATGTAAGTAAAGTACCGTGTTCGGCTGCTTGCTGGAACCCGGGTGGTGATGATGGGGAATCGAGGGGCTGTGCATTTGCTGCATCGGGACATGCGGAGCCGCCAGATCGGACGTTTTCCGGATCGGCGTCATCGAGCTGCTTGGGGATTGTTGCATGAAGGAATTTTGCCTGGAATTCGGGGTTAACACAATTTCCGCAAAGAACCTCTGCTAGCCTGCCCTCTCCTCTTCCTCAACAATCTCTGCTAGCCTGCCCTCTCCTCTTCCTCAACAATCTCTGCTAGCCTGCCCTCTCCTCTTCCTCAACAATCTCTGCTAGCCTGCCCTCTCCTCTTCCTCAACAATCTCTGCTAGCCTGCCCTCTCTTCTTCCTCAACAATCTCTGCTAGCCTGCCCTCTCCTCTTCCTCAACAATCTCTGCTAGCTACCGACCTCGATCTAGGTTCCAAAGAAGCATGAATAGCCGAATATGACCCGGGTGATGTAGCGTCGGTATCACACTCGGATCCACCCTCAGTATCATCTTCCGAGAGTTTCCTCTGTTTTGCCGGTATCGGGCATGGGTCCCGCTCGGTTTCCATCTTAAAAAATGTATTGATTTTAATCAAAAATCAAAAATATCCAATTTTGTTCATAATAATATTTTTTTTGAAAAAATGTTTTACAAATCTTTCTAGCGCCACGGATGGCCAGAATTTAGCTCTCTGCGTGCGTGAGTAAATGCGTAAAATTCGCAACGGCAAATTATTCTGGCTTTCGGTAGTCAATTTAATAGAAGGAAACGAGAAACATTTTTTTTTATTCGGTTGGTGTTTTCTGCCTAATTTAAGTTTGATTTAACCAGCTTTAAAAATTGCATAAAACGCACCTGCTGATGAATCTCCAAGAGCTGGCGTTTTCGACGCAAATTCCGTAGTTTCCGATAGTCGTCGGGGCACGCTTTTTTCCAGGTGTAGTAGAATTCGACGCATTCACGGACCGTTTTGTTGGTTAGCTGAAAATAGGTAAATTAAAAAATTTTCTAGATCTGTCTCTCTCTCCCTCGCTCTCTGCTCCCTATCTCTCTCTTCCCCTCTCCCTCTCTCCCTCTCACTCTCTCTCACTCTCTCTCTCTTTCTCCCTCTCTCTCTCGCTATCTCGCTCTCTCTCTCTCGCTCTCTTCTCTCGCTCTCTCTCGCTCTCTCTCTCGCTCTCTCTCGCTCTCGCCTACCTCCTGCGCCACTTGGTGGAAATCTTTTTCCGTCTTATAAAGCGCATCTTGGAACGAGAGAATTTCTTCCGCACTCCACGGTGTCGTATCCGGATAGTACGAGTCGTAGATGCTACGGTACTGCTCCCAGTCCAGCGTGTCCGAGCTGAAAACATGCATTAAATTTCTATACCTTTATTTTAAGTTTAAGTAAATATTTTGAAAATCTAATCCCTCGAAAATATATTTTGAAGATTTTGTTTTGTTATCTGGCTTTCGCGACCGTAATAGACCATCCATAACCCGCCTAAACTTAAATTTCTCAACCCGAGAAAACGTATGTTTCTCTTGAAAAAATGCAGTTCCGCGGGGAAAGTACCGGCTATTTCGGATCGCGAAGTTAAAACTCCTGGTACTGGCCGTTAAAATTTTTTTGCGTTTGTACTTTTTTCCAAAACATTTTTTTGCAAAATTTTTGCTGCAGATTTAGATTTTTTAATAACCTACCGTAACAAAATCCATCACGGCCGCCTCGAGATTTCCCTTGTTTTCCATCAGGAGTTGCAGGGCCAATTCCTAAGAAAACAATTTAGCCAAATTCAAGATTTAGGTCTAGATACCTTATTCCTACCGGGCCTCGGCACAGCTTGGCTGCAGGAGAGCAGTTCGTACGCGTTTACTAAAATAAACAAATGAAATATAATATAATGAAGTATTAACCTATTAAAGATGAAACCTATTAATTAGGTAATTTACGAATTATTACCCCCAGTCGGCACCCACTTTTGTATTTCGGCCCCCCTTTGCGCTAGCGAGCTCTAAAATATACCAAAATGTTCGCAGTTGGCTAATTAGTAAGAATACGTTGCATTTGAGTTGAAAAACTAGCGAAAAATATAAAATAAGGAAGGTAGAATAGTTGAAAGGTCGGCTGGCAGGGGGTTTCCTAGACTTTAGCCAAAATTCTTAAAGTTTAGCGAATTGGTAACGAAGAATTTCACGAGAATTATGAATTGGTCCTAATAAAAAATTAAGTAACTAGCCAAAAATTAATTTTCCATTTCGCTAATAGCCATTAGAAACGATAAGTTTCAAAAATGTGCGAGGTTCAGCGAATTTAGAAATATGGAATTTTCCGAGGATCAAATGGTGCAACAAAAAATAAAATAGTCGTCAAAATTAATTTTCAATTTTTGGTGAATCGGCTTTAAAATTATGAGTTTCAAATATTTGAAAGTCTCGGCGAGGTTGGAAATGATGAATTGGGAGTAGATGCAGTCAATTTTCTGTGCTGATAAAATTAGCAAAGAACAAAGCCAGATATTAATTATATAAAATAAATTTAATTAAATTAAGATAGGTTACAATACAAGAATATAAGTATACAAATAATTAAGTAACAATTAAATGAATATAAATGAAACGCACATTGCTCCGGGGATAGGTGGTCGATGAGCGTCGAATCGAAAACCATCTCATCGCGTTCCTCGATGGCCTCCCTCTCCTCGTCGGTGATCTCCCGGTCGGCCCACTTTTTGACGCGGGCCTGGAACTCGCGCCCAATGTTGATGTGGCTGAAAATGAAGTTTTAGGGTTTTTTTGATTTATAAACAATTTTGAAACACATTTTCCACGAATCATGAGAATTTTTTAGCACTTCAAATACTCTAGCTAATTTAAAATGCGCCTGAAACGTGTCAAATTAAATTGTTACGCATTAAACGAGTTAAAAGTTAGCATAAAACCTAGCTTTTCAAATCTTTTAAAAAAAGCGGTTTTTATTTAATTAAGTCTGATTTTCAATGTGATTTAAATTTGAAAATTAATTTTTCGAATGAAAAATAATTTGTTTATTAAATAAATCGGTTCCATTTTCAACTACTCCGAATTAAATTATGATGAATCAAACTGGCTATGGGATGTCATAAAACATTCAATTTTCACATATTTTTCTGATCGGCAAATTCCAATCCAAATTTTCCATCAGGGAAGTATTGATTCTTTGGATTTATAAACATGTTTGAAACATGATTTTTTTAAGATTAAAAATCAAAATTCCATAACCTTACGCACCAAGAAATCTAAATTAAGCAGGTTGAAAGAGCCCATGATTGAGTTATGACGAAATAAACGGGGTGTAAGGTATCGTAAAACATTGATCTTTCATATGTTTTTTTGAGCAAATTTCAATTGGAATTTCGCTAAATTCGCTATGAGTTTTTATTTATAAGTAGAGATCTTCAACCCACGATTTATGTAAATAAAAATTAAAATTTGGATCACCGTTTACGAGCTCAAAATGTTAATTAAGGCGATCGAACGCACGAAATTAAATTGTCAGAAATTAAACGGTGTATTAGATATCATAAAACATTTGATTTTGAAATGTATTTTTATCGGAGCATACAATTGCATTTTAATTTCACACTTTTTAATTTATATACCTTTTTGAAACACTATTTTTCAAGGGTTAACGCTAAGTATTTATAACTTACGGTGTGGCGTCAGTATGTTGGGCCGCGGAGTGGTAGTCGTAATAACACTCGGACATGGTACTCGCTTTCCGCAACGCGCGTCACTCCTGTAAACGGCTCAATTTAAATGAGATTTTGCAAATGATCTTTTCATTATTCATTCGAGCTCTTTAAAATTCGGACAGTTAGGTTTTTGCTGAAGCACGTTTTTTAAACCAAAATTGTCAAATAAATAAAATTCAGCATATTTTAAAGTCGGTTTTTGGCGAAACGTCTTAAAGTAAAATCCACAATTTTCTTTATCGTTTTTTATACTGTGGTATTTATGAGTAGTTTTATTTATATAGAACGTGAATTTCAATAGCGTTTTGCCAGAGTGATTTTGGCTGAAAAATCTAATTAGTAGTAGCACTCCTTAAAACTTTTGGATCATAATTTGTTGAAACATTTTTATTTTCAGAGCTTGATCATTTCAAATTACGATTTATATTTCAAGTAATGCTATTAATTAAATTACTGTACCTGTCGTCGATAGTAATCGAGCGTTTCGACTTGTTACTGCTGGTGCTGGCCCAAGAGTCTTTTCTCAACGCCTCCAGCTCTTTCGCGAAGTTCACCTGGAATACGGTAGTACAGTAAGACCATATTTTAAGATCATTTTTCGAGATTTGTATAATTTTTAAAGATTTTATAATATTATTATGAATTTTATCTATTTTCTATTTTTTCAGTCACTATTTTCAAAAACAAGGATAAAAAGGAACCCAATTTCGAAAAAATACGTATAAAAACGTCTAAAAACCTTCTAAATTTAAAGCTTTATGCAAAATATTAAATTTAATTCTTTATTGTATTTTATTTATTTATTTATTTCGTATTTATTTATTTATTTACTTGATTAGAATTTTTTTATAGAATTTGTTTATTTTACTGTATTTATTTTATATTGAAAATTCAATGCACCCAATATACCATCAACTTTTTCTATTTTATGTCTTAAAATATACCTGATTATGCTGATTGCCCATGTAAAAGAATCCGTTCTTGCGCATCGGGCCGTCCTCTCCGTTCTGCGCGTCGCCCTGCGCTTCCGCGCCCCCATTCTGGTCCTCGGGCGTCGGCACGATCGAAGGAGCACCGGCGGACGTGGAGGATGAGGCCTCCATCTGGTGCTCTCCTAAACGATCGCATTATTATCGTTTAACTTCGGTTCGATTTAATCTTTTAATTTAAGCAAGATTTTTGACTCCGGATCCATGCCGATTGTCGGCTAAAATCCAATCTTGGACTTAAAAGTTGATGAAACATTTAGTTTTCCGCATTCAAAATTCATAAAAATTAAATTAATAAAATGAGTTAATAAACTAAAGCTTAAATAGAAATGAAATTAAATTAATAGAATTGCAATTGCTGGCGTAATTGATAAAAGTTGTTCGGCAAAAAATGTTTCGACAAAATAAGCTCTTAGATGAACTTTGACTGCTTTAATGCGTCAAAATTCTCGGTTGCAACGAAATTAGCTAATTTTCAACCCGCACTAAATTTATTATCAGAATCAATTCTAACTATAAAATTAAATTCCGAGTATTTGCTATTTCCGAAATTACCGAGAACAAATCTAACTGCGAGCAAAAAAGTTGTTTCAGCCACCGTTGAATATGAGAGTTTATAAATAACTATATTATCTTACATTCTTCTAGTCACTAATTTTTATATCGTATTTATGTTTATTCTCGTCGTATTATATATATATATATATATATATATATATATATATATATATACCATTATGAAGGGCTATGATATTAATGGGTGACTCGGTTTAAAATAAATGTTTTAAATGAAAGTAAAAAGCGTTGATTTACTCGTTGCCAATTCCGCTTTGGTACCACATCCAAATTACTTATATTTTACGTTCAAATTTCTATTTTCTTTGCCTTCAACATCCCTTTAAAATTCGAAATGTGGCCCTGACCTCCAAATCCATTTGCCGTGGGCAAGAGGCCGGTCCCAGCAGCCGCCGCAAAATCGTTGCAGTTCGGCGTTACCTAAAAGTTCAATATAAAATAATTTAATTACATTTATGTTGTATGTTTTACGTAAAGTAATTAAATGGATTACGTTTTATTGAGTTGATATAATGAAAGGTTTATTTTCGATCTTTGGTGCGATATGCATTCACTAATTGGGGATTAGAAAAACCTTTTTTGGTAATTTTCGCACGAAACACAAATTTTTAAAAATTTAAAAACTTTTTTAGAAGGTGTCTGGAAAATTCGTGCATAATTTAGATCCAGAGGCTTCAGGTTTAATTAAAATAGCGCTGGCTAAAAGTGTTTTATGTTTGGGCGAGTCGCCGATTGGTAAATCCTCAGCTCGCCACCCGCAAGGCCGGGGTTCGATTCACGCCGGGGGAAATTTTTTTGCTTTTTGCTCCAGACGTTCCGAATCGTGACTGCTACGATTTTGCAATTTTTCATTGTCTTTGAGCGGTATTAAATAATTATGATAAAGTCCAAATAGTATAAATATTAATCAATGAATTTTATAAATATAACAAAAATAGATTTATAGTAATAATATATTCGATAAATCATAGTATAAATCGCATTACTTTGTAGAGAACAAGTGTATTAAAATAATGTTGAAACAATTGCTTACATGCTGCCCCAGCGTCTTGGCGATCTGCCAAAAAAGGCCGGAGCCGTTGCGCATTGGCGACAGGATGGGCGGCGGGGTGTAGGCGGAGACGCCGCTTTCGCAAAGTCGAGGGGCGCGTAGATGGCTGAAATTAATAAAATAATAACATTTAAGTATCCTGGAAAGCTAAATATCCAGGCCCTAATTGCACTAAATGCCGCTGAAAGATACCCTATTTTACCCTAGGATGAAACATGTTTTTTCGAAACGTTTGTGGCTTTTGTGCTATTTGTGTTTTTCGAAACACTAATTTTATTTTCATACTTTTATACTTTTATATAGTGTAAGAAAGGTAATCGACAGAGCAGAAAACATGAAAAAGGTAGGAACTAGAGCTGTAAACCGCTATACATCAAGTTACGGATTAAAATTTTGGTTTGAACCGGAAATCAAACATATTTTTTTGTGAAAATTGATGGCCGCTTTTGCCATTTTTTTTTGTCCCGACACTGCCTTCATTTTTATTTTTGATCTTTTTTACATAGGGCAGTTATCTAAAAAATCACAATTATATTTAGGAGTTTTGTCGAACTTGGACTTGGACTTCAGGTATCGAGCTCCAAATAAAAATTTCAGCTATAGTCGGGATTGAAACATAATTTTTTTGTCGTCAATTTTTGCTAGCTTGGCATCAATTAATGTTTCTTTTTAGGTAAAAAAGGCCAGGAAGCCAGGAATTCCGACTATTAACTTAAAAAAACACATTATTTAGTCCGCTGGTTGAAACACATTTATTACGAAATTTTTAACAGTGACGGACTCCATTCGCAAACCGTAGCAAAATTCAGAATTCAGATTCATAATATCTTAAAAATTAAATTATCTAAGACACCGTTGATCATAATTATTTAAGGTCCTTTTTACACGCGGTAACAAATTTCTGGTTCCATTTCGCTACGGCTAGTCTGGTAAAAAATAAAGATGTGTCAACGAACATTAACAATATCGAGTTGCCGGAGTCAGCACTGATCCTAAGGATGGTTCGCGAAATTGGAAAGGTGATAGCTCGAAATAAGATATTATTATCGTTGTTCTTTTTGGCGAGAGAGATAGAGAGGGAGAGGAGAGAGACAAACCCCAAAAATCGAGATAGAATTCGCGGGGATATCAAAGGTTTACACCCTAAAAAGTTTCATAAACTGCAAGGCGCCGCCAAGGAGAGAGAGCCAGTGAAGGAGCGAGAGAGAGAGAGAGAGAGAGGGAGAGAGAGAGAGAGAGAGAAACAAAGCTACTAAAAAAGGGGAGCAAAACTCCCTTCTTGCAACCCCGTGTGCTATCAATGTCTGGCCGGCCAGTGGGAAGGAGGGGGAGGCGATTGATGGCCTTGCACTGTTCCGCTCAGGTTTTCTTTTCTGCAGCAAGTGAGATAGAGACAGTGAGAGAGCGAGAGAGAGAGAGAGAGTGAGAGAGAGATCCCCAGACAGAAAAAGCCGTCGTGTCTGGCCACCCGACAAATGTTTGCAGCACTGCCATGCCACATGTGATCGCCAACAGCTCGCCTCTCTCTTTTTTTGCCGCTCCTCTTCCCCAATCCCGCAGTTTTCGCAGCGAATTTGGAACCTGGCGGCGCGGAACGGGGAAGAGAAATCGAGGGAAATGAAAAGGCTTGGAGTTCCAAAAAATCTCTGCTATCCTCTTGCTCAAAAATCTCTGCTAGCCTGCCCTCTCCTTTTCCTCAACAATCTCTGCTAGCCTGCCCTCTCCTCTGCCTCAACAATCTCTGCTAGTCTGCCCTCTCCTCTTCCTCAACAATCTCTGCTAGCCTGCCCTCTCCACTTCCTCAACAATCTCTGCTAGCCTGCCCTCTCCTCTTCCTCAACAATCTCTGCTAGCCTGCCATTTAAAGATAAAGTGCTTCCCACAAGCTGCGAATTTGCTATTCTCGCGAAACCGAACTTTTGATAGCCAAACACTTCTATTTTCCTATGAGGCGGTTCCTATATTAAAATCGTTAACTCGTCAGAGTAATCGATTATTGCATAAAACACATTTTTTAAATCCCCCCAAACTGGGGAAATTTTTCAGGGAAATCGGGATTTAGAAATTTTGCAAAAATGTAGGGTGACGTGGGCTCACTAACAAACTTATTTTTGGAATTACTGAAAATCGAATAAAACATAACTTTTAAACGCAAATAGGCTATTTTTAGCCGAGTGAAACGAGAGGAACTGTTCGTTCCCTTCAATTCCACCAGCGCTACCACCCCCGCCTCTAGCCAAATAGCACGCAAAAAGTGGAGAGAGAGAGAGAGAGAGAGAGAGAGAGAGAGAGAGAGAGAGAGAGCGATAGGCGAGAACTGAAAAAATCAAGACGCCCCGTCAACAAAGTGAATCATGTGCGCCGCGCGGTAGCCTGGGCGGCCGGCCTCGATCGAAGT